CAAATAATGATAGGTTCACACTGGGAATCTCTCAAAAAAACGAAAAAGTTGAACTTTTAAAAAACGATGTCATTAATAAAACCATTCAAAATAAGACTTCTATTCGCCGGAAAAATTATTGCGTAGTTTTAGACATCGTTCTTGGAAAGTTCAATTTTTTCGATTTTTTGAGAGGTACCCAGTGTGAACCTATCCTTATTTGGAGTACGGTAGATGAGAATGAATAAAAAACAGAAAAAGACAAAATTGAAGTCAGCAATGCTCATTTGGTGCGCAAACACCACTATACAAAAATGCAGAAAAGTTCTGAAACATCATGTTCTGAAACGTCGGGTTCTGAACTGTCGGGTTCTGAACTGTCGGGTTCTGAAACGTCGTGGTTCCGAAACGTCGGGTTCTGAAACGTCCAGGGGCCAAGGTCTCAACTTTGAGCTCGATTATATCGTTTCCTGTGAATGATCTCAAAAATTTTTCAACTAATAAAAAATTGATGATATAACAAGTAGTGATTTTCAAAAGTTTTAATTTTGGGAAAAATATTCAGGAAGTGTTAATATTTCTGTTATATTTGTTGAAAAAACACGTTGCTCCCAAAAACTTAACGGCCCATCTTTTGGGAGATTCATAAGATTCACGTGGCTCACAAACATTTTTGAAATTTCAGTACTTTGATGTGAAAATTAAAACTTTCGAAATTCACTACTTGTTATATTATGTTAAACAATTTATCAATTGACAATTTTTTTGTATCTTTAACATGAACCGCGAAAAACTGGCTTAACTTTGAAAACTATTGGACCGTTCTATTACAGGTTTTACGGTAATACTGCAAACAAAATAGACTCACTTGTACGTGCTAAAAGACGCCGGAGATTTTTTCCAGATGAGAAAAATTAAAAGGAGATTTAATGGTAATGAAACAATGACAAACCCTATATAATAGTAGTTTACGAGCATTGGTATATCCATGCAAGCACCAAAAAAACTAATATGCTTCACTGGAAATTCAAATATTTCAAATCATAAATCAGATCAAAAGAACAAATAAGAGTTCATCAAAACTAATTCAGCATTTTATGAGCTCTGAACTACTGTGAGCTCATTGAACTGGGATCAGAGACACACTTCTAAATTTGGAGAAAAAAGGAAAAATTCTAATTGAAAAAGTGTATATGATTTTTCGTATATTAATTAGAAGCAGAGGAGTTGGATGTATTGAAACGGAAATGAAATCTCACCCATGCAACGTACTCTTATGATCAAACGCGTTTTCTGATTGTGAGAACAGATGAACCAGATCAAAACAACGAAAATTTAAAAGTTCAATTACCGTTGACCGTAATCCAGATTCCTAGACTTCCGGAAGAGGTGCCTACACTCCTTTCATCAACTTCGAGGATTTGATGTGTAAAAGTTTCGATTACAGTGAAAATTGAAAATAATTTGAAGTTCGCATTTTCGAGACATTCCGATTTTCAGAAACTCAACTTCTTCCCTACAGTAATCCCTTTTATTTTCCAATATTTTTAAAACTACAATGATTATTTTCATTGTGGGGTATTTCCCCCTACAGTTCATCTTCGAACATTTTTCGTTACAGTAACCCTTTTCATTTTTGAGTATTTTTCAATCAACAGTAGTCCTTTTCTTCAGAGGGATGCCGTGCTTTTCTCATTCCGGATTCTGTGAAATGTACTTTTCTCCGAATTCCGAGAAAACCTATATATTCCGGATTCCGGATTCCGAGTTTCCTGTGAAGCGAGAAAGACTTGTTAGTTTGAACTGTTTGAAATTCGATTTAATACTAATTGAGTAACTTCATATGTATCTGCATAAAATGTTATGAATAATCCAAGTGACTTTTGACTGCCCAATCCACTAGGCCACTCATTCCCAGAGTTCTCTAGTTTTTATCACCATTTCACAAGTTTTCAACCAGACCGCCTCACCATTTTTATATATTTGTTTGCTCTTTTTCTCTTCTTCTTATCAATTCTTATATTCTAAAACATCACTCTTTTTCGGCTTCTCACCAGACCTTTTTTCTCCAAAACTTTTATAACTTTGAAGAATTCTCTCTCAACAATCGTTAACGTTCATCTATTCAGAATGAGAGAAGTCATCTCGATTCATGTTGGTCAGGCGGGGATTCAAATTGGAAACGCTTGTTGGGAATTGTACTGTTTGGAACATGGTATTCTTCCAGACGGAACATTTTTAGATCCAGACGGAAATTCTGGGTCTCTCACTACATTTTTCTCGGATACCGGATACGGTAGACACGTCCCTCGGTCGATTTTTGTGGATTTGGAACCCACTGTTGTAGGTAAGATTCCTTGAGAAACTGCACTAGGTATTTAATATTTCGTAATACTTATTTTTCGATAAAAAATCTGAAAATGTCTTTCATAAAAAGGAGCAATCTTAAACACAACACCAGTTGCATACACTTCTCCCCACTCAATGCGCGCCCTCCCTTCTCTCTAAATACACCTTGCGACACATCCTCTTGTGATGCACGCGTGGTCTAGTGGTAGTGTTGCTGACTGCCGCACAGCTGCCTTAAGACCCGCCAATGTCAATTCCCAACCAATGAAGACACAACCCCATGTCCTGAAGAAATCCATGCTAGCATGATTAGTCTTTCCGAGGTTCTCTTTTTTTATTTATCAGATGAAATCCGCACTGGAACATACAAGAAACTCTTTCATCCGGAGCAAATGCTTACTGGGAAGGAAGATGCAGCGAACAACTACGCACGTGGACACTATACAGTAGGCAAAGAGATAATAGACACCACGATGGACAGAATCAGAAGACTTGCTAATAACTGTGATGGTCTGCAAGGATTCTTTGTATTTCACTCGTTCGGAGGAGGAACTGGTAGTGGATTTACTTCAATGATGATGGAGAAGTTGTCAGCTGAGTATGGGAAGAAGAGTAAATTGGAGTTCTCAATCTATCCAGCTCCTCAGGTATTTTCTGAAAGAAAGTAGAATTTATTTTTTGCCCATCAGATCTCAACAGCTGTGGTTGAACCATATAACTCCATTCTAACTACACATACAACTCTGGAGCATTCTGATTGCTCGTTCATGGTCGACAATGAGGCGATTTACGATATTTGTCGCCGCAATTTGAGAGTTCCAAGACCAACGTACACTAATTTAAACCGGATTATTTCCCAGGTATGCCCGTGGTCAGTTCCATAAAAACAATATAATTCTATAGGTTGTATCCTCAATCACAGCTTCACTCCGCTTTGATGGTGCTTTGAATGTGGACCTGAATGAATTCCAGACGAACTTAGTTCCATATCCACGAATTCATTTCCCATTGGTTGCCTACAATCCATTGATTTCTTCAGCTCATCACGAGATTTTATCCGTTGATGAGATAACTAAAAGCTGTTTCGAAACCGACAATCAAATGGTCAAATGTGATCCGAAGAACGGGAAGTACATGGCTGTTTGTCTTTTATACCGTGGAGACGTTGTTCCGAAAGATGTGTCCGCTGCGATTAAGTCAATCAAAACTCAGCGATCCGTTCAGTTTGTTGATTGGTGTCCTACTGGATTCAAAGTTGGATTAAACTATCAACCACCTACAGTAATCCCGGGTGGTGATATGGCTAAAGTGCCACGTGCCGTTTGTATGCTTTCGAATACAACTGCAATTGCGGATGCATGGCAAAGACTGGATTATAAGTTTGACTTGATGTATGCAAAACGAGCATTCGTTCATTGGTATGTTTGATGAACTACATTATTCTGCATACCATCACTTTGACTGTGACTACCGTAAACACTCTAATAGAACGACCCCCTTTCTTTCAACTTTGAGCTCAATTATTTCGATTTCTGTGAAAGATATCAGATTTTGTCAACTGATAAAATATTTGTGATATAATGATAAATAATTTATCAGTTGATATCTTTCACAGGAACCGAGATAATTGAGCTCAAAGGTGACAGTTTGGGTGGACTTTTATTAGAAGTAATACGGTACCTAGGTTATTGCAAAAACTCGTTATTTGGCTTTTAATCAGTAGAAACCATATTAATATAGTTCACTTTTAGGTACGTAGGAGAAGGAATGGAAGAGGGAGAATTCTCGGAGGCGAGAGAAGATTTGGCTGCACTGGAGAAGGACTATGAAGAGGTTGCGGCGGATTCCAATGAACAGGATAATGGTGAAGATGAATATTGATATTGTTTTCAAAGGAAATAAAGTGATTGATTGTTGAAAGTTTTTTTCTAGATTAAACTTACATATATATTTTGCATTCTCACTCACTATGGAATGACGATAAATTATCTTGCAATCGAGAACTACAAGTGGATCCACTGAAAATAACCCTTATTTCAAAACATTTTTCAAATGTTGCTGAATGGCTTTTACAATTAGAGTCGAGACATTAATGTTCCAAAATTTACTAATAACTGGCGAATGACTGCTAGTTGGCAGCCGAAGGAGAACCGACGGGCCGTTGACGGACTATCGACGGATCATCGGAACCCCTCGGAAAAACCAACTTTGTGGGCTTGGCCGGGAATTTTTTCTTGCGGGTTTGCACTCTCTTCCTTTCAAACTTTTCTGTTTTGTGTTATATGGTCATTTCATGATTTTTTGAACTTTTAATTATACCAGTTTGAAGGTTTAAACATGAAAATCTCCAAAATTATCACATAAAATCTATGCGATTGCAATTTTAAAAATGAACATTTTATTATAATCTACAAAGTGAATGCAAAGTACAACTGTTTGAATATATACACAGACAATTTTTATAAATCTATCATTCGATCTTGACGGACTCGAAGTCGCTTCCTCCGTTGGTTTCGGTGGCAGTGATACGGTAGGTCTGAAAAATATTAATATTGGATTACTGTATCCAAATAAACTTTTAGTGTAGAAACTAGTAGAATACTCACAGCTTTAGCTCCTCCATAATAAACTGGACACATTGATTCACAAACATCCTCAAGATCGTTTCCTTCAGCTGGACTACACCACGACTCTTGGAACACGACAACCATATTTGTCACAGATCCAGACTTGTCTGAGCTTTGAACTTCAATTGGTACCCAGAATTTTCCGGCGTTTCCAACATTGACACTGGTAGCAGCTGCCTCCCAAGCTAATCCCAAAAGTTCATCATCCACGTCTCCGTGGATTGGAGCAGCTACCGAACAGCCAACGATACAAAGAGCGAAGAATCCGAAAGACTTGAACATATTGGGTGGAGTAGTAGTACCGAATGCGTGTACTGAATCGCTACTCGGACTTCTTTTTATTCTGTTTCGACCGTTCCGGCGACAAAAGATCGAAACCTCTTAAATTGAGCGAAAACGGAGAAGGGGGAGGAGAGAAGATGACTGGCGCCAGTATTCTGAACCGGTATCTCTAGTTTTAGTGCTCATATCTCTTTTCCTTATCACATTAACCCTACTCATTCATTTTCTTCTCAGTTGACCTGTCTGGTCTAATACCTTTTGCTTCCAGTTAATTAGATACCAATTGGTGGAAAGGTTTTTGAAGAGCCCATTTGGAAGAGGAATTGGTAAATGGAAGAAGACCGGTTTAAATTTATTTTTTGGTCGAAAGACTAGAAACACGATGATTTTGTGGCGGTTCTCTGTGTAGTAGTAAGTAGCAGTTGTATAGAGAGATGATACGTTTTGTTCAACAAGGAAGAAAAGTTTCCAATTGACTTCTCTGTTGATGGCTATTTTGAAGAAGACAGTGAAAGAGAAATGGGAACAAGGGTGTATTTTTTATCTAGAATCTAGGAGATTAAGATATTGTGCTGGTACGAAACATTGGAGCTGTGGAAGAGAAACGCCGACAACTACAGTAACCTGAAAATATTGAATTTTCGGATTTTTTTCTCGATTCTCTATTATTTTCACAAGATTTCGATGAAAAAATTAAATGTTCTGCTTTTGAAAAAATGACTGAACGCAAGAATATCGAGATAAAGAATCGGGAAAATAAAAAATTATTTAGGTTACGGTAATTGTCGTTAAAAGCTGGAAATTCGAACGGCACGAGAGTTGGAGGACTTGGACCCGGAAAAGGACGGCTGGGCGTACTGAAGAGCGTTGGGCAAGCAAAATCGAGCAGAATTAACTGATTCAGAAGTTGAAGACACGATTCTTGCATCTACAGAATAGTCCGAGAAATTTTCGAAATTTTCAGATTATTAAAAAGCAAAAAGTTTTAAGACTTTAAGATTTTTAGATTCTTAGATTCTCAGGTTCCCAAATCGCCATTTTAGGCAATTTTGGACTATTTTCAGGCTATCCAGAGCAATTTTAGGCTGTCTTTAACACCCAATTTTCCCCTAAGGAGATTTAGACAAACGGGAATTACATGAAGTATGATCAAAAATTTATTTAAAATTCGTGCAGAAACATGTTGGATTAACAGAGCCATTATCACAAACGACGTCTACATTTTCTGGCAAATTCACTTTGTATACTTCGTAGTGATGATTGATTGATGGTTCCAAATGCAGCTGCCATCCGTCTGAATTTTCAAAATAAAATGTGATAAAAACTAGCTATTTACCATCTTTCAAAACTCCATTCCTTGAAGATATGACATAGAAAAGACGTTTGATTCGAAAATGAACTAGCGCCATTGAGCACATAGCGCATGGTTCATTGAGGAGAAAGACATCAGCTCCAGTGCCCAGATAATCGGAGCCAGTTCGTTTCTGAAGATTCCCAACCATTTCCATGACTGCATGACCGAGAGGGTGGGTGGACGGACTGCCCGAGGATAGTAAAATGTCGTTCTGAAATGAGAAGTCATTTTGGAACCTTATTGTTATTTACTTACCTGCACTGAAATGCATCCATTTTTCAAATCAATAGCATACTGACTCCATTTGATAATATAGGCTTTCAGGGACTCTGTAAGCCATGACCCGTCTAAAATTCGTTCTATCTCATGATTCGGATGAAATCCTGTTGGCCAAACTTGTTTCGCAAAATCGAACTGTCGTCGTGTCAATGGCTTTATCGCCGGGACCAGGATTGTCTGAAAAGATTGAAAGATTAGTATAACTTCTATTTAGTGCCGATGGTATTCAATACCAACCTTCAAATTCTTCAGTTGAACTTCCGGATTTCCTAGATCCAAAACAATTTGCTCAGAATCATCTTTGTTCTCAGAAATAAGAACACTTCCATCTTTTCCTACTCGTTTCAAATGTTGAAATTCTTCAGGCAGTTCTTTCAGTCGACCAATTATCTGAATAAATAATCATTAGATGCATAAAAATCATCGTTAGGTAATACCTGGCCAATCACTCGTTTGTTTTCTAATTGAACAGCTTGAAAAGAGGTGGTTGGAATGTCTGAACATTTCAGTTTTGGATCCAATATAGGAATAACTTCTAATCTGGAAGAAGATTTTTCTCATCTGGAAGAGGAAAACAGCGAATAAAAGACTTACTTCAGTTCAGTAGCAGAATTTAATTTTCTTATTTTTTGTGGAGGCTCTTCAATTGACATTTCTCCAAATATTACAGATTTCTAGAGTTGAGAAGGCAAGAAAAAGTACTAATAAAAAAGCGTGCGGCGGCATTGCGCCCCCATTCGCTCCGCCCATTTTTCCGCGCCGTATGGTATCATGTGCATTTTTCAGCTGTTTGTTTATTTTTATCGCCTCCCCCCCCTCTTTTTATCAATGTTTTTCGAGATTTTCTCCGATTCTCCCAAAATTTCTTCAAATTTCTTATCTTACTTTTTAATATATTGAACTCCTCCGTCCAATAGTAATATTTTCAGGTGAAATGGGCAATAATCAGTCCGGTGGGCCAGAGGGCCGCTATGTAGGTCCGAACGACAAAGCCGGGCTTCGTAGACATCGTATGATGAGTGAAACTGCTAGAGTGGCTGGACAAGTGCTTCCGAACCCTGATGGGCCGCCTATGATGTTCGATGTATGTTTTATTGTCGGTTATCTCCCGTAAAGATGTTTTCAACAAAATGTTAACTGGAACTTGACTCCAAGAGCCGTAGATGGCACTTTTAGTAAATTTTATATTTTCGATTATTTCAGGACGGTCACGAAGACAAATCCGGAGAATGCCCAGTGGTTTTCCGTTGGAGCTTCACCCAAAATGCTCAACCACGCACTGTTCACATAGTTGGTTCCTGGGACAACTGGCAGACTAGAATTCCGATGGTGAAGTCTACCAACGATTTCTCCACTATCATCGACTTGGAACCAGGGCAATACGAATACAAATTTCAAGTCGATGGTTCCTGGGTTGTGGATGACAATCAAGGAAAAACACAAGATGCTGCTGGGAATGAAAACAACATGATCAACATTCAAGACTCGGACTTTGCAGTTTTTGAAGCCCTTGATGAAGACTTTCAGTCTTCAACTGCTGGAGAAGTTCTTCGTGGAGAGTCGGAAAGCACCAAAAACCACGACACTCCGAACGATAGGTAAGCTTTGAGTATTAAAAGAGTTTCGCTGAATAGCATTCAAGAAGAATCGGATTAAAAATTTTTCAGAGAACTCGAAAAGCTCCGTTCATTCACTCAAGAAATTCCATCACTGGATATGCTCCGCCGTGCAGCTGGACCTCCTGTTATTCCACCCCAGCTGATGCAGGTAATAAATCTTTATATGCATGTCCCAAATAATTTAATAAAATCTATCTTCAGGTGTTGCTCAACAAAGAAACTCCAGAATCGTGTGATCCTAATGTTCTTCCGGAACCAAATCATGTGATGCTCAATCACATGTATGCTCTCTCCATCAAAGACAGTGTCATGGTGCTCTCGTCTACACAACGTTACCGCAAGAAGTTCGTTACCACTCTTCTCTACAAACCAGTCTAAACCAAGCGCTGATAATGAAATCCACCTCTCAAAACCCCAATTTCAGTTTTTTTGTTCTGTATCATAATTCCATTTTCTCGTTTTTCCCTGTCACTTTCTGTTCCCTCTTTCTCCTGTTCACATAGCAATTTTAAGAAACACAAAACGTAGTAATTTTTTCTTAATACGGTCCTCTCGGAACTTTACCAAGTAAAAACATCGAGCCGATTAGTCGAATCCGCCTGCCCCATAGTCGAACATAGTCGAATCCGCCTGCCCCTTTTTACAGCTTTATTTTTCTCTCTTTTCAATGACTTTCCTTTCCAAAAATGTTCTGTGAATAGTTTGTCATTCCAATTTGTTCACTACTTTTCTTTTGTTTTTAATGCTTCTTTTTGTTTTATCCTCTTATCGAATTAGACCTTGTAATGCTATTTATTATTTAATACAAACATTTCATCGGCATTTTAATAACCCAGTTTTGTTGATTTTGATACAGTAGCCGTTTCGCACGGTACTTTCTTATCTATAAAAAACATGAAGCTTGAATATCTATTGGTGCTTCATTCCTAAAACTGTCATAAGATCCCACTTCTCGAAACTTGCTTCGATCATTTGAATCAAGATCACATTGTTTCATTTTTAAATCGCTATGACAGAGCGCCAAATTCAAATGGGTTTTTCAACTCTCTTAGCAATCAAGTTTTGTCGTTTCCTCGAATCATGTGCTCTCTAATCATTCATGTTGTCTCTTTGTTGAACCTGCCACGCTGTGCCCGCCGCACTTTCTCTCCCTCTCTATCGCCATCTGCGCAACAGTTTCACGCAGTTTTACGGCCTGTTAGGAGCTTTCTTTTCGGCCCTCTAACAAAAGAACGAGGCAGTAAATTGTATACCCCCGGCTTGAATTAAAAATAGTGTCAGATATTCATCCTGGTGAGGCTATGAGATGAAGGTTCATATTTCATATGTTTTCAAGAAGCTGAGAATTTCTGCGAATCAATTATCGCCTTCATAAGTGATCTGGATGTATTAATTTACTTTATAACTTTGCCTTTTTGAATGTGGGATCTTCCGTTTTTCTTTGCGATTCAATTCATTTTCTTTTTTTTTTCGCCAGAATAATGTCCCAAACGAAGACCAAAATCAAATTACTTGTATCTGTTTTCATTCTGAACGTTTTCCCTTTCCTCTTCTGCTTTTTTCTTTCTTTTTTGCAATCAAACAACTACTTTGTTGTTGTTTTTCCGCTTTTTATTCGCCCTCCGCCCTCTGATTTTTGCCATCCCAACCCAACAAACAACAGACTAGTCTTTGTTTTTTTTCTTTTTTCCTTTCAACTTCTCAGAAATTTTGGTGTTAAAAATAAAAGCGATAAGAGACGAATGATGTTTCCCCACCTAACAATAGCTTTGTAGAGAACGACGTCACCATATTTATTTTTGAATCTGGACACAACAGTCGCAATAGGCAATTTTCATATTCGCCAAAATATGATAACTTCTGATATGGGAATAATCATCTATTTCAAAAATCATGTTCCTCTCACTGTTCCTCTCACAGTTTCCTTCAAATGAACTATTTTTCCTCTTTTTCTTGAATGTGTCAGAGTAGAAATTAGTTGGTTGTCTAACTGAACTGACATATTTCACAAAAGAAGAAAAAAGAGAAGATTACAATTCGTCTTAATGTCCTTCATTGCCCTATCTGTCTCCGTTTCTCTTCTCACTACCTTTTATTTTTATCTGCTTCGTCGTGTTACATTTTCTCTACTTTTTACAGTTCCTTGTCGTATGGAAGGATTTGAAAATTGAAAGTGTTAATTCTAGCTTTAGCTTCTGTAACATTAAACATTTTTGTTTTCGATGATTACATGTTTTCATCACTATAAAAATAGTCTTTTTCCTTTTCCGGAGTTTTGTTCTCGGACATTTCCGTTTAGAGAATTCCAAGGCCCTCGTGGCCGTTGCCTAGGAGAGGAAAGCGTGAGAACTTGCGCAAACATAAATTAGTAGTCGTATTTAGATTGCACTTTTTCTCTTTTTACCTGTTCGCTCACTAGTGCCCACTTACCCTTCCGTATAATGTTGATGGACGAATAGTTTATGATCCTTTGTAGTTACCGACACTACGATTTTTCGATCTTCTCTGACTAAAAGTAGCGAAGAAAACGATTTATTTGTGATTAGTCACAGTCTTTTTGGATCCTTTACAGATTCAAAAGTGCAAATAACGCCCTCGATTTTCCAAGGCATCAATTGAGGAATTTCTGTTGCAATTTGCAAAACTGCGGGTTCAGTCTGATAAAAGAGAAGGGTGCCAGGAACCAGGAGCGGCTGTTCGTAATCCAGGAGAAAGTACGTGTTTTGCTTCTTTCCGTTTGAGCAGGTGCTCATTGCGACCCATTTGATGAGCTTTAGATATAGAATCAAACGAAAGGTTCTTAGTTTTTAGTACTGTTCCACATATCAATCAAATTAGATTCTGTAAAACCTGTATTAGAAGGGCCGGCCTTTCTATTGTTCCAAGGTACTTCCACTTCCAGAGGGTCCTCATATTGCAGGAGCCCTTCTATTAAAAAGGCCCTTCTGATACAGCTTTCACGGTAGCTTAGTCTGAGAATTCCATTATTTTTATGAGGTCCCATATTCTTTGTTTCAAGGTTCCTTATCTCGCTATTCAGCTTTTTATTATACCATCTCAATGAATGTTGCAACCAACGCCGCATCATTCAGATACCGTTGAACTTGAAGAGACGACGACTACGATGTGTGGTGACACGCACTCTCTCCCTCACACAAAGAGGACGCTCCACACCCTCTCTCTCTCTCTCTCTCTCTCTCTCTCTCTCTCCATCTCTCCATCTCTCCATCTCTGACCCCTCTTCTCCCAAAAATTCCGCTCTCCTAGGTTGATCGTTCTCTGGACTCTCTGTCTATTCGTATGCTATTTCTCTTCCCTCCCAGTTGTTCAATCGCTTTCCACCTTTGCTACCTCTTTCTCTCTCCCCTCTCTGCCCTCTCATATGCCGGCTTGTCTCGTCGTGAAATCAGCACTATCGATTGACTGTGATTTTTTTTTCCAAAACTTTTAAAAATGACTACTTGCTCAAAAAAAAAGGCAAAACATGTTTCGTAATTTTACCCAACACTCAACCAAAAATAAAAAATGATGACAAACAGCTGATCACCTGTGAAAACATTGAGAAATTACCAGAACACTCTCTTCTCGCCTGATCGTTTTCGTCGTCCCCTATTTCCCCATGTGTCAATCCTTTAGGCTTCTTAGTTTTCGTTTTTTGTTGAGTTTTGCTTATCATATCATCCATTCTCTTTTTTTTGTCAAAACGATTCCGAAAAGACTCAATTGATTGATTTTTCCGCAGAAATTGAAAGGAGCATAAGACTGATAACACTTTGTTCTTTGGCTTTTTTTCGCGTTTTGAGGTTGAAACCTTCATTTGAACACCTTTCAATTGCTAATTTTGAGACTAGGTTAACGAAAAAAAGTGTTTTATTTCTCATATTCCTCAATGCCGAGTAGTTTTTCTATTCCGATGCTCCTTCCTGCTCACTTGGCAGCTATTTTTTGCGACCGAAAAACAGTGAAATCTTGATTTTCATCTTATCGCTTTCCATGTCTCCAAAAGTGACTGTCGATTAATGGCCATTATAAATTACTTATCTGTATTACCTTTTCTCTCTATTCTCATATCGCACTCTTATCTTGGACGTGTCGTCGTATTCTTGTCTCTTTCAATTCAGCCCTTTTTCAGGTCATAGAAACCATATACTGTACATTGGATGGGCTGATCTCTCGGACGCTGGCTTTTCAGTTGCTCCCAGATTTGTTGCTCATTATAAAATATAGGTTTTAGCACTAAGTGCTCATTTTGAAATTATAACAAAATGGCCGACGTTTTCGAATTCGAATTGGACGGACATGATGCCCAACCATCACCACAACGTCATGTGTGAGTTTTTTGTTTCATAGAAATTATATTCTGATGTGATTTCACAAGTTTTTTTTGTGTTTGAAATGATACTTGTAGTTAGCACAGTGATTGTAGTAGGGTCATATTTCTATCATTTACCAAACTTTTATCACCTGACTAATGACACTATGACCCGATCATTGATTACGCAAAGAACAATAAACATTCAGAACGGGAGAAAAGACTAGTGAATAAGAAACTATTATGCGTTCAAAGTGAAATTCAAGGCGGAAAAACGCTGTCCAAAACTGCTATTTTTCCAGTTTTCCAGACATCAAAATGCGGTAGCACCCATTTTGGCTGTATTTTTTTCTCCGACACCCGTCGTAAATCGACTTGAAATTCTCAATTTTGATGGTCTCGAAGAGATATCGCAAAAAAAACATGGCCGAAACGAACGATACCGTAATTTAGTGTCTAGAAATCTGGAAAAAAATGGGCAGCTTCGGACTGCGTTTTTCCAGAAAGATTTACCTAGAAATTCACTCGGAGCGCGGCATTAAATTGAGAATATTGGATTTGAAAAAAAACATATTGGAACAAGCTCATAAAATAATTAATTTATTTCAGATACCAGTATGAAAATCATTCGGAGGTAATGGAGGACGATCACATGTACAGCAATGTTGCTGATGTAAGAACCTCAGATTTCTAGGAAAATTATAACACTGTACGATTTTTAGGGGCAAATTTCTGCACCTCCACCGAGCTCATCCTACATGGAAGATCCGATGATGGAGTCGATTCAGCTGTGTGCCAGTGCAATCAATCCACCAAACGTTCGTGTTGGACCAGAAGATTTTCAACTATTGAAAGTTCTTGGAAAGGGTGGTTACGGAAAGGTATGCTAGTTTTGAAATTAAATTGATACCGTAAAACCTGTAAAAGAAGGGCCCCACACTGGTAAGTTTGAGCTCAATTATTTTGGCTCCTATAAGAGTTATCTGATACCTGATAACTGTTATCAAAAAATAAAAAAATGGTAAAACGTTTGTGATTTTATGATCAACAATTTATCAGTTGACAACTTTGTGAAATCTACGACATCAACCGAGATAGATTGGTTCAAAGGTTAAGGGGCTCTTCTATTACAGGTTTTACGGTAATTTTTTCTTTTTTCACTCTGAACATACGACAGTGAAAACTAACAAAAATATGTTTCAGGTGTTCCAAGTACGGAAAACGACTGGCTCTGACTCTGGAAAGATCTTCGCAATGAAAGTTCTCCAAAAAGCGACAATTGTCAGGAATCAAAAGGATACGGCTCACACGAAAGCGGAACGAAATATCCTTGAAGCAGTCAAATCGCCATTCATTTGTGATCTTCTCTATGCATTCCAAACTGGTGGAAAATTATACTTGATTCTGGAATATCTCTCGGGTGGAGAGCTTTTTATGCACTTGGAAAGAGAAGGAATGTTTATGGAGCATGTTGCCAAATTCTATCTATCGGAAATCGTGGTCGCACTCGAACATCTTCACCAACAAGGCATTATTTATCGTGATTTGAAGCCAGAAAATATTCTTTTGGATTGTTACGGACATGTAAAACTCACGGATTTCGGATTGTGCAAAGAAGAAATTGAAGGAGACCAAAAGACGCATACATTCTGTGGAACTATCGAATATATGGCACCAGAGATTCTAATGCGATGTGGACATGGAAAAGCCGTCGATTGGTGGAGTCTTGGAGCACTTATGTTCGACATGCTCACTGGAGGACCACCATTCACAGCTGAGAATCGACGAAAGACAATTGACAAAATTCTTAAAGGACGTCTTACTCTTCCAGCATATCTCTCAAACGAGGCTCGCGATCTCATTAAGAAGCTTTTGAAACGCCACGTGGACACTCGTCTTGGAGCTGGAATATCTGATGCTGAAGAGATTAAAGCACATCCATTCTTCCAGAAGACCGATTGGAATCTTGTCTATGCCCGTCGACTTGAAGCCCCATTCAAGCCAGAGATAGAAAATGACGAGGATGTATCGCTTTTCGATACACGATTCACAAAAATGACACCTGTGGATTCTCCATGTGAAACGAACTTCAGTTTGAATGGTGACAATCCGTTTGTTGGATTCACTTATGTTGCTCCATCCGTTCTCGAAATGATGAACAAGGGACATGGAATTAGTGTCGCACATCTCGCATCCTCAATGTCAAGAAATGCAGGAGGATTTCATGGAAAGAGTTCTAGAAAGTGAGTTATCAAATATAATTAGAGATAATTAATTTAATTGTTTCACAGGCCAGGAGATCCAGAAACCGCTCACATTCAACATGGCGGTCAATCCAATCTTTTCGGTCACGGCTCCAATAACGAATCACATCAGTTCTTTGGTGTTCCATCTGGCCAATCCCATCAACATAACTCGAATTTCACTCCATTCGGTGGTTTTAACGAAGATGATGCTATGGATACATCTACTCCGAGAGCCAGCGAAAGCCGGGAAACAACGGGAAATAATGGAAACGGAAATAGACCGAGTACCGTTGGAAGCACTGCTTCCACACCAATTCCATTGCCTAAAAGGGTTATGTGATTCAGAATTTATTTTTGACTTCTCGCTCTTATGACCCATCATCATCATCATCATCCCCAAACGTGTCGTTTCTTCTCACCGTTTTTTCTTGTATCCATTTTTTGTCTAACCGTTTTTTTGTAATTGTTTCGATATACCCTTAATCAAATTTATTTCGGCTCATCCCACTAGAGATTACGATCTGTAGATTTGCGGAATTCGAGAGGGTGTAGTTAATACGGAAAGGATGGTTTATATATACATCCTCTCGAATTCTTACCCGAATCATTTCAAATACGGAAGTATTTTAATCTCTGGCTTGTTTTCATGTTTGGGATAACTCGCCTTTCAACTGTTTTCTTTTTTGTCGTTTTGGTCATTTCTTTTTGCCTGTGACATTCCTACTAGAGGATATGCACTATGCCGGGATTACTGTAGTCATTTGCTCATTTCATTGAATATTGTTTCTGTGTGTAACCCACCAACTCTTTCTTTCCGCTCTTCCCACTTCGCGTTCCCAATCAACCTACTTTTATTTGCTCCCCCATCAAAACTCAAAACTGGCTGAATCGTCGTGATTCGATTTTTTGGTGTTTTTTGTAAACACATGTCCTTCTCCCAAAACACCTCTATTACCCCCTATCCAAGTGCCTTTTATAGCCTCTTTTTTGCCTTTTTTTCGTCTCCTTCAAAAAAGAAAAAATCCCAAATATCTAGGTTTCGAATTAATAAAATGACTTAAAATTGATTTTTTGTTTCTAAATTCTGCCCAGTTTTTCCAATCAGAGAACATTTCCGGTTGACATTTTTGGGGACGAGAAGAAAGATGAATAGATTTGATAGAATGCATTGACAAGAGTGGGAAGTGTAACAAATCGATGACCAAGTTTTTTTGACCGTTTTATGATAAGGAAGAGAAGACTGTAGACGTCTTCAGATTGTATTATTTTTTTTGTACTTGACACTAATTGATCGGACGGAATGGAAATGGAATTGATTGCTCAGATTACGAATGATGAGTGAGTTCCTATTTTTAACGAAAAAAAGCAAGCTATTGAAAAATCGAAAGTTTTCATTAATTTTTAGTTCTTAATTGAAGAAAAACAAGTATTTTGTGACTTATTCATTTAAAGCATTAAAAAAGGAAAATCATTCCGGAATTTCAGTTTGAAAATTTATTCAGCTTGAAATTTGAAATTATATAAATTTCTGAAATTTCATCTTGGCTTTCAACTTTGAGTCCATTCCCTGTATAAGATATCAAAAAATGTTCAACTGATAAAATATTTTTGATATCGTGATGAGCAATTTAATATTTTTTATATCTTTGAGCCAGTATATCTCATTTCCTATAAAACATCAAATACTAGTCAACTGAAAAATGTTCATCATAGTTGACCATTTTATGATAGCTTATGCAAGGAATGAGATACATGGGCTCAAAGATGGAAAAAAGTTAGGGGCCCTTTTATTGAAGGCTTAAAACATCCACAAAATGTATTTTTTATTAAAATATACACAAAAGTAGATATCACTTTTTCGATCAACTTGAAAGCTTTTGAATAGAATTAACATTTTATGTAAATAGTTGACAACGGTTTTGTAAACTTTCATCCATAATTTGGCGTTCAAAGTGAATTTCCTGGATAAGTTTCTTTTATCAGACACTAAACTACGGTATCAGTTTTGTTGGCTATATTTCAGAGATGTCCGGATTCCGGATTCCGTGTTTTTTTTCATTCCGGATTCCGAGAAAAATTTTTATTCCGGATTTTAAGCACATTTGTTAATTTGCAAGAATTTTCTATCATTTTTGAAATTCCGCGACTAAAAATGCAAAAATATAGCACGATATGTGTTTTTAGAAATTTTCTGACATTTTGGAGAACTCAAAATTCCGGATTCCGTATTCCGTTTCTCAAAAAATTCATTCTGGACATCTCTGCTATAATTCCTTCTAGACCGGCCGTAAATCGTCAAAAAGGAATATTTCAGAACGATTGATACCGCACGCTATTTCAAAGAGCCCGGTCTGAAAATGCGCCCCAGCGAACGTGAAAAATCACTGCGCAACGTGTCAAGTTTCGTTGACTGAGGATCAAACTTTTAAACGTTGAGCAAAAAATCGCGAATTGCAATGCGTTGATTAAAAAGATCTAGGTCAAATCCACGTCAACATTGAAAAAATTAATTTTGAAATTATTTAATTTCGTTTGGCCTGAAAGTTATCTGGGGCGCGATTTTCGACCCGCTGCTTTGAAATACCGTGATACCGTAGTTTAGTGCCTGGAAATCTGGAAAAAAATCAGCTAAAAAAAAAAGAAAAAAAAATCAAAAAATCAGCCGAGCGTTTTTTTTTTCAGGAATATCCTCCTGGAAATTCACTTTGAACGCGGTATTAACATATGAACGCGGTATTAACATATCTTTGAACGCGGTAATAACATATGTGGCGCTTACTAAAAAATTCACAAACTTATTTTGTCGGCTGTGGTGTTCTTTGTTTTAAGTCGAATGTCTAAATTTGGAATTCTGAAATGCCAAATTTGAATAATTGGTTTCTTTTAAATGTTCCGGAATTACGAATTTGCTAAGATTTGAAAACTTGAGTTTTCACTCAATACCTCTATTTTGAACTCAATTATCTCGATTCCTATAAGAGATATCAAAGAGCTGTCAACTAACAAAATGTTTCTAATATTATGATAGACATTTTGTTGGTTGTTTACTTTTGCATACCTTCTACATGAACCGAGATAAATTACCTCAAAGTTGAAAATTAGGAATCCCCATCTGAACTTTCTTAGGGGACCCTTCTGAAGTTCTGCATATTCGATTTTTGAAATTTCGGAATATTCTTTTTATTTCAGTTATCTTGGTTCTTGAAGAAAGTTTCAAGAAGTTAGCAAAACTTTTGTAGCGATATGACATACCGTAACCATTCTTATAGAAAGCCATTATATACTTTTCCCTTTGAGCTTAATTATCTTGATTCCTATAAGAGATAACAAAAAGCTGTCTACTGATACATTGTTGGTGATATTATAATAAACATTTTGACAGTTTTTTTCTTTTTGATATCTTTCATAGGAATCGAGATAAATTGGCTCAAAGAGCAAGTAAAATTGGACTTCTATCAGAGCGTTTAGGTAATTTTCATCAGGAAACAAAGTTTTGGCCGCTCTCACACAGACAAAGACAAATTTCAGTTTAAAAATAATAGTTTTTTGGAAAAAATAAATTTGTGTTTTCATCGTTCAGAAGCAATTTCTAGACTTCAAAAAATGTAGTTTCTCGAGAATTTTCTGATTCATTGTGAAGTCAACAAATATTCTGTTATTATTCTTCGTTTTATTTTTTCTTCCTCTTTGAAATTTTTACTAAATTTTCGAATAATATCACATGGCGATTCTATTCGGTGGCCAACCCTCTTTTCTCTTCATTTTCAAGAAAAACCCTTTTTATTTTTGTTGTTTTTATTCTAGATCTCATCTCATCTAGAATGCAATTTGTTCCGCCTATTTGAAATTCAAAAGAAGAAGAAGACGTGAAAATCTTTTTTAGATCAAGGATCTTCCTTTTTGCAGTTTTCATGAGAATTCTGAATTTTTCATTGATAGAATCATCCGGAATCTGAGTTCTGATCATTTCTCTTTTTTAAACCAAAAATAGCTTCAAAGTTGACAAAAAGGAAATGACAAAAGACGATTTTCCCAACTTTTGGTAAAATTTTTTCCTTCAATTTCCGTTTTGGCTTTTTCTCACCTAGATTGAAAAAAAGAAAACTTCTGCAGAAGGTGTTTTTGTAATCACAAGATTTTCTTATCATCACAAGTTGTTTCAAATTCCTTCATCAAAAAAATATAATTAACAATCGAGAGACGCAGAAAAGAGAGATACATAATGAACTGATAGTTCAAAGTGGCCGTTGACGTCGTCTAGAGTTTAAACCAAACACTTCTTTTGTATCTTCTGAATCTCCATTGACGTAATTCTGATTCTGAGAGAGAATTGAAAACAAGAATTCATATAGGAGATTAGAAAAATAACTTCGGCCGTTTTCCAGACTTCCAGCCGATTCTGCTATAATGAACGATACAATTATTGTTGACACGTGGAATAATACGACGACTATTGAGCCAGCAGTGCTCTCCGCCAGAAAGGAGCAACTCTATGAATCTTTGATGTGAGTTTTGCTTTTGAAGCTTTTTGGGATATCTAGGTTCTAATTGTGTTCTTAAAGGTGGTGTATGGTGAAAGCTTGTATTGCTTAATTTTGTGCAGAAAATCATGTATTTAGATTAACAAACTGTGAATGTTTAACAGAAGACCACCCTATACATGAACTTTGATCTCAATTATCTCGGTTCCTATGAGATATATCAAAGCTTTTTTAACTAATTAAATGTTGGTGATAATTTGATAAGCATTTTGTTAGTTGACAGATGTTTCATATCTCGCATAGGAACCAAGATAACTAAACTCAAATTGCATTTATAGGGTGGGCTTCTAAAAGATCATTTGAGGTAAGAATGAAAAAAAAATCGACGAAAACCCTCCTTAATTGAGAAAACAGGCTTCGAAAAAGCGAAACGGTATCTGGTGGCTGACGGCGGAGTATGAGTTTTCTAGTCCCCGAAATTTTCGTATTCAAAACTTTTGGAGATTTTTTTTCTGACTTCCAACCGGCTTCTGAAGGGATCTTGCGTTTTTTTTTCACTTTTAAACATTTTGAAAATATACAAATGTCAGAAAAAAGTTAACATTTCCTTGAAAAAGTGGTTTGAAACCAGAAAAAAAGCCTTGAAAAATTCGAATACGAAACTGTAGGGCGCTTGACGGGACTAGGATACTCCTAATCGGCGCCAGTCACCAAATACCACTTCGTTTTTTCGAGGCGGTTTTTCTCATTTTAAGAATTTTTAAAGAATTGTTTCTTTACAATTAGTTTTATGCGAAATACATGCTTTTCTGTACATGTACATGTACAAAATTGAACAACAATTGTTCAAATTAGAAGTGGGCCTTCTTCAAAATATTGATAACAAATTTTCAAACAAAACAGTCTTCTATTTTTATAATTTTTATTATCAAAAAAGAAAAAACAAAACAAATACAGAAAAAAGAATTAATGGGTCTTTGGCCATACAACAAATCTAGTGAGTTCTTCCTCCTCGTCAGTAATGAACGTCCCAAGTGTACCATCCTCGCTCTTGATATCGTATCCATTGCTGCAGTCGAATCTTCCAAACTCGCTCTCATGGAATCGTGGTCCTCCTGTCCATTTATCACATTTCTTGTAGAATTGACGCCATCTCTGTTTGTCTCCATAGCGTGTCACCATCTTGAGATTTGGATGATCTCCTTCGATCCATTGTTCGATGTATAGGAAGAAATCGAATGAAGAGATTCCATCCATTGGAAAATCCATATGTGGTGCTTTGTAGAGTGCAAACTTTTCCGGATTGAAGTATTCGGCTTGGTTCATAGTGAACTTCTTTGCATTGATTTCGAGACGTATATCCATTTCTCCATCTGCGATGCTGATTTCTTGATTTGGCTGGACGAATTTCAGAAATACTCTATTGAATTTTCGCTCCAAAAAGCAGCAATCAAAAGAGAGCTTCGATGCAGCAAGAGAGAGGTATCTCCATTCCTTCAGATACTCATTTGTTAAAACCACTCCATTAAATGTCACATCGAATTCCATCTTTCTGAAAACACTTCGGAAATGGATGAGGAGAGCTTTGCAAGTTTTCGTTGGATGGGAGGAGCTGATGTGGGTGGTTGGAACTCCTTCGTAGGGCGTGGAATATCTTATGACAGCTTCTTCCTCTTCAATGTGATCCATATCGTATGGTCTCTTGCAGCTTCTGTGGAAAATCCATTTTCCCAATACTGTTCCATCGGTATCAACATTTCTTATCTGGATACACTCTCTGGACATCTCCGGGGCAATTTGAATTATGAAACTAGGACGGGAGATGCAGTATCGGTAGGATCTGATGATTCGTTTTGAGGTTTGACTGGTGAACGACGTGTTGATTCTTAAAATGTTGAGATATAGATTTGTTATACTTTTCAGTCGATTTTTTTTTGGGATTTCCAACACCTTTAGAGAAACTCCTACTTGTAAACGGGGCCCTGCCACAGTTTCCTCTAGAGTTGAAATTTTTGAACCAACACAATTACCATAGAACTTGAAAAGTACTACAAAATGATACTATTCGGAAAACTGTATCTTGTCTATGACCAAAGTTATCAGAAGCCGGAAAATCGTAGCTTGGATAGTTGTTTACCACTCACTTTGTTCATAGACAAGATACAGTATTTCAAATAATATCATCGAGTTCTATCATATCTAATTTATCTATGGTAAGGCCCGGTTTACAAGTATAGAGCAATTCAAAAACAACAAAACTTACATGTCGTATGCAGACATATTCCTCAGGATTGCAGCTTGAACCGTTTCCGGAAGTCGAAAGACAGACATGCGGGAGGAATAAGAAGAAGTAGAACACATGATAGAATGCTAGTTGCAAAGAAAGCGAGTAACTATTCCGTAATGAGGAATGAATGAGTCATGATGGTTAGGAGACAAGGGGGCGTAACCAGAATAAAGTTACGCCCCCTTTCCAGGTGGGTTTTCCCACCTGGACTCCTTCTGTGAAAATTTCAAGGGTCGAGAGTAATTAGGTGAAGAGGAACTGTAAAATTGACAGGTGCTGGCATATCTAGATAAGAAAACCTCTTCAGGTTCAGTCGTAATTGTTAAGAGCCTCCAGGGAAGATAGTAATCGTAACTAGACATTTTAAACATTGATTTACGAGTGATGGGAAACCATGCAATGTACGTTTTGTTTTAAATGAGATCCATAACAAGAGATGGAATTTTGGTTTGAATGTTAAAAAAGGAACCCTTTGAATCAGTATTTCTAGTGTAGTATCTACATATAAAAACTGGTATAAATTTAAAAATAAGAATCTTGGAAGCACAAAAATTAGTAGAAATATAATTTAAAGTTACATTCAAAGGTACTGAAATTTTCAAAGCAATTCCTCAAATCTAGGTATTGTTATGATTGTCCAAAGTTGAACGGCATACAGCTTATTCAAGATTTTCATGTGATGAAGCAACTTTGACAAGCGATAACTCAGAGCAAGGTTGATGGAAGAACTTGAAACTTGGTCAGTTTACTGATGAATTATTTATATTTTTGCACTCCAAGCTTGAGACCAGTACAACAATTCACTCAAATTTTATGCTAGTACAAACTTCCGTGTGGGTCATTATTCGCCGCTCTGTAGGTCATTCGTTGGATGAAGCAGTGCGGATTCAGAAAGGAAAATTTTCAAATTATTGTATCAAATTCTGATAATTCAAACAGGAAAGTACATTCTTGTAGTTGATAGTTTTTGTGTAGCGTTACCGAGATTTAAGTTATGGCTCATTGAAAATACTGAACGTTTTAGAATTTCGGTTAAATTTCTCAAAGAGCATTAATTAAGTGTATCAGGGAAAATATCGGTTGAGACATTACTCATAAAAATAGAATTATTTTTCGGTTGATCATTTTTCATATTTTTAACACAAAAGGAGATAAATTGGATCAAAAAGTTGTCAATTGGGCATAAGCACATATGTAGAAGAGCCCCCAGACCGTAAACTTTGAGACCTTTTACCTCGGTTTTTGTCAAAGGTATGACAAAATTGTCAACTAATAAATTATTCATCACTATATCCCAAACATTTTATCAGTTGACAAATTTTTAATCTTTCCTAGGAATTGAGATAATAGAGCTCAAACTTAACAGTATGAAGGCCCAGATTTTACGGTATACAAGAAACCTAGTCTCTCATTGATACTTGCATATTTCAGCCTCTCCGGAAGTGCGATAATCTTCATCTTTCTGGCCATTCTGATCCTCTACTACATCAAAACGTCTCGTTATTACCGTCAATGGTGGCGTGCTCGTCAAAGTGAGAAATCAGCCAAAAAAGAGGAGAAAGCAAGATTGAAAGCGAAAGCAGAACGAGAGAAGGAAGAGCAAGAGGACGAGGAAGAATATTCTGTGTGAAACATTTCAAGATTACAGTAATAAAGTCTTTATAAAGAATCACATATTGTCTTATTGCTGACTATTTATACAGGACAAAAGAAAAATCACAGGCGAGAAACAAGTACCATTCTAGTTGTGCAGGCGGAAAGAGTGAAACGGGGAGCAAGTGAAAATCAAGCAAGAAGTTGTGAAGGGAATAATGTTGCATACTTATAATACCCATTTTGTAAGGAATTTGGAGAAAGTGAAAAACGAATTCGAATTGAATTGAGAAAATAATTAGAAAATATCCGGACATTTGTTCCAGTCATGTTGCTCTTTAGCTTCCCAATATCCTCCTTTGTACTGGTGAATCAATGCTCCATTGGACTCGTCCTGTACTCGCACGAACCATGTTGGCTCATATTCTTCGTATTTGTCTCCTAATTGAAATATATTAAATAGTGTCTAACTCTCCCTAGTTACCTCTCTTCATAGCCAACTCTTTCTCCGCTTCTCGACGTCTTCTCACGATTCTCTGCTTCTCTTCAATCTCCAATTTCTTCTTATTAGCCTCGTCCCATCTGAAAAATTGTTAGGATCAGTGGAAGGTACTAGTTTGGAAGTTACTTACTGTCCATTTTCCATCATTCTCTGATCCGGTCGTAGTCGAGAATCCGTTGGCGCGACACCATCTTCTGGTTCGTTGAGCTCAATTGCGAATTTCGTAAAGTTGTGCATTTTCTCTGCGCCTTTTCTGTAAAAAATACAAAGTGGAATTAAAGTTTAAGGAATCCTCTAGCAGGGAAGTTCGGAATGGAATCTCAAAAATTCCGACCAGAATAATTTGGATGACTTTTTTCGGAATTCGAGATCGAACACAATGAAAAATTCCAAATTTTCAAAACTTTGAAACTCGGAATTTTCGACATTCAGAACATTCCCGAAACGGTAGGAATACGGTAAAAAACTTACGGTAATGGATGCGCGGTCCAGATCCTCTTCAAACTCGTCTCATCTACTTCAACTTTTGGCTTCTCGTGATTTCCATTCCAACTCGAAACCTTCAACATATCAATCGACTTGTCCCATGTTCCTTGAACCACGTACTTTGGAATACCTTCAGAATCACGGACGATACCGTATACCTAAAAATGAAAATTAAGAAACAAGCTGAACGGCCTCAACGGGTCGCTCACCTTTCTAGGTTGTTCTCTACTGAAATAGGAATATGGAATGAATTTCAATACACACTTCTCGTTTGTCGTATGATTGGTGATCTCCATTTCTCCATGATTATCGATCCACAACTTTCCGACAATGATATTGTGAACCGTCGTTGTGATTTTACGATAGGAAAAGTGAGAATTCGTGGATGGAAATACGACATGAGTAAAACCAATCGGAATCACAGAGAGGTACTTTCCACGGAATCTTGATGTCATCGTAAAGTCTTGATACATCGTCCAACCCCGTCCTTCGGCATGATGAGCAGCGGCCGGTGGGTGATGCGATACTTGCTCAGTGACACTTCTCCATCCCAAATCTTCCATTCTATCGAATTCATAAGTCTCTCCCAACAATGGATTGAATGGTTTGTTAGTCCGATGGCCGGTTGTCGAGTAGTTACTAGCCGCATACGCAGCCACATAGCACATTTGTTCAAGAGTCGACTGGAAAAACCATGGTGTTTAGTGAACCTAGAGCCTCTAGGTTAGAGGTTGTATACTTACAAGTTTCGCTCCAATTTCCAAAAGATCAGCGTATTCCAAGTCTTCAGTGACACGCTGTAACACTGAAATCGGTTCGGAGAAGTTGACAGGCATCGGGATTTTCGAGAGCTCCTTTCCAATACAATTCTTCATAATTGACCATAAATTGATCGGAAGATCCGGCCGTTCGGGTACTGTATTCCTTCGCTGTTTTCCTTTCGGAGCATCGGGAGACGGAGACGAGGAAATAGACGACGATGGATCACCAGCACCAGAATGTCGCCGATCAGTACGAACTGTTGGAGCAGCGTGCACTCCGGCAGGAGATGTAGAGTTACATGGCATTCTGGAATTGAAAATTGGTGATTGATTAGTTAATATTTCAAAATTGCAGGTACATCTGTTTAAATAAATATGGAAAACGGGGAAGGCGGTTGATCATTTCGAACTTGTTCTAGACAGAAACTATTGAATCCATCAGGATTCATTGAGAAAATGGAAAAAAAAAGAATGTGAGTCACAAGGAACATAGAGCAACGCTATTTTATACTTCCGGTCGTCACACGTTTCCTGTTTCAGGAGAAAACAAGAAGAATTGGTTTTGTTTTTTTGTTCCAGAGGGATTCTGGTGAGAGAGAGAGAGAGAGAGAGAGAGAGAGAGAGAGAGAGAGAGATTTTGTAGATTATATAGTAATACATCATCAATCAAAGGAGGCGATTTGAAATCACTAATCAAGGTGTGACTGAAAACATGCGATTCAAACTACTTACAAAATGAACAAAGAATTCTTGTCGTTGAACAAAGAATTCTTGTCACCTTTGCAAAAAGACGAAAACCGTTTTTGTTCTTCGAATTTCATATCAGGTGGAAGGAAAACAAAGATAATCAAATCAAATGATCGCAAAGAAAAAAAAACTACTGCCCAACTGATTAGAACATCAAAAGTGGGGTCATCAGGTGCGCGGAAGAGGAAAAAGTGAAAGGAGAAGATAGGAGGAGGAGGCTAAAGTTCGTTCAAGAGGGCCTAATGTGGCAAATTAAGAGAAAGAGAACGGATGAGGAGAAGAAGTAAGAAAAGAGAAGGGAACCACAACATTTCAACAATAACCAGTTTCTTTTCATGAGTGTGGCCAACAAGTAGAAAGTATTTGAAAAGGGAGATGGTCAGAGTAAAATAAGAAGACGAAGAGAAGGAAAAATAGGAAGAAGTAGAAACCAAAAGCTTTGTGACAGATTTCAAATAGAAGACATGACGGCATCATCCATTTGTAAAACTAACCAAACCTATGGTTTTTTGTAAATGTAGTTGAATCAGAAAGGTCCCCATCGTAAAACCTCTTATAGAAGGACCCACACGCTGTCAAGTCTGAGATAAATTTCCTTGGCACGCATGAAAGATATAAAAAATCTGTCAAGCGATAAAATTGTGATATTGATATCATATTGTAATGAACCATTTATCAGTTGATAACTTTGTGACATCTCTTATATGAGCCGAGATAATTGAACTCAAACTTGACAGTGTGGGGAACCTTTTGATGTTACGGTAATCAGAAAGATGCCAAACTTTCAAGGAATGAGCCACGAGTATGAGACACGATTGGAAGATTCATATTTCCGACCAACTAAACAAAATTTTCTAAGTCGAAAAAAAGTGAAAAAATGCCCTCTCTCTCTCTCTCTCTCTCTCTCTCTCTCTCTCTCTCTCTCTCTCTCTCTCTCTCTCTCTCTTCAATCTCATCGAACACGAAATACCAAAAAATAGATGAAGAGATAGTGGGAGAAATCGGGGAATTTTTATGGGTCAAAAACTTTGCAAATTATAAAAAAATTTTGAACCTACATCAGATCTTCTTCAGCGTCATGGAATTCGTCTTCTTGGTCACTATATGCTGATACAGGTACTCCGGACGAATACTTTGAGGCCGCCCGTTCCAGTGATGAGTGTTGCTTCGCCAGCGCTTCCAGTTGTTCCTAAAACTTTTATATTTTTTGAGTTGTATAATTTCGAAAATTTAAAAATCGGAGTATTCTGGAATTTCAAAATTGCGAAAATTTCAAACAGAAGCTTCTAGGCAAAAATCGTTGGAGGTACTTTATAGGATAAAGGAAATGGAAAAAATACTTGCATCCACTCTCCCAGCCACTTTTGTTTCCCATAGCCACTGCCAGCTAAACAAAAAAGGAAACAAAAATAGAAGCCTTATGCAGCACTTTTGGTTTTTTGGTCACCCAGACTCGCCTGCAAGAAAGCCTTCTCCTTGTGCTCAACAGCTACAATCTTATTGAGACGCTTGGCGGATTGTTCTGATAGCTCCACAAACTCCTCAGCGGCTTGGATAACTGCTGCAGTGGTCATCTGCAAAGATTCAAAACTTTCCTAAATTTTGAGAAAACTAATGACTCACTTTCAACAAGTCTGCTCTTTCTGCCAGCGAATTCTTATCCGTTTCCACTGTTCCATTCAAAGCACGCATCAATTCGTCCCCTTGTTTGTCTGAAACCTGATGAAATTAATATTTAGAGCTTTTTCAGATACTCACTCATCATATTGGCCGCAGTCCTCAAGTCACATAATTTACCAGAAATCTGTCTATTGGAGAGGATCAGAGCATCCGATCGGCTTGAATCCGTCTGTGCCAATTGAGCATCTTCATCTTCTTCTATAAAAATTTTCCGTGTTTGAATGCCTCTCAGCTAATATTCCGGAATTTCAAAACTTTTCAAAATCGGAATAGAACTCGGAATTCTGACCGGGAAATTACCGAAGATTTTTTGCCGTTTCAAAATTTATTTATCAATTTTTTCCAGCTATTTTTAGTGATTTTTGAAGGATCTTACACTTTGGAATTTCGAAATTTAAAATTTGAGTATTTCGGAAAAACCGAAGATTGACAAATTCCAACTTTTCAAAATAACAATAATTCGACATTCCGTGTCTTTCGAAATCGGAAAATTCCGAAAATCCGATTTTTTTTTCAAAATCGGGGTAAATTTCGAAATTCTCGAACTTTCAAATTGGAAAATTCCGAAACTTGGAGACTCAAAATTTTCGATATTCCAAAAATTTCAAATTCTCAAAACTGGCATATTCCGAAATACTAATTTTTTCAAAATCAAAGAATCCCGAAAATTTTTTCGGGCCGAAAAATTCCGAATTTTTTATCAATTTCAAAAGGACCATTCCAATACCCACCACTTTCTGCCTTGGTAACAGCCTTATGTCTCATATATTCCAATGAGTTCACCCATTGTTGTCGATCCATCTCGTTGTGTGGTTTGACATGGAACGTCTGTGATTGTCCAGAAATGACGATACATGAAGTTGTCTGGAAGAAGAATTTCAATCATTTTGAAGCCATCAATAATTCAGGAGAGACAATTACCTTATCAGTATGAACGCGCGCTTCCTGCAAGTTAATACTTCCACGACACGTATGACCAACTTCGCTGGGGTTTCTGAAAAAAACGATCTTGACATTTCAAGCAACCTTCTGTTTCCAGAATTTCAACCCCCCCCCCCCCTCCTAACAATAATCACCTATCCTCTTCTAGTTCTTTTTCCAAAAATCGTGTTTCATCATCTTCTCCATCATCTGCATAAACATACTTCTGCATAGAATCACCACAGGCAGATACATAAACACTCTCATTATCACTGTTCCCCTCTCCAGATGCCTTCCTTCGGGCACGTCTACCCACTGGAAAGGCACACCAAGAGATTTGCTTCCTAGCCTGTCGAAGACGTCCTCTTAACGTTCCCATGATTCGATGACGAATCCGTTTACTTTTACAGAGACTCGAAGAAGAAGCGGAGCAATAGGTGGACGTGGAAACTGCAGAAGTGGCTGTCGAAGGTAAGTTAGTGGAAGAAGAATGGGAAGTAGAAGAGGAAAGAGAACAAGAAGTGAGGTCTATGAGTGACGACTGTCGAGGATCGTTATCGTTTCTTCTTCCACTCCCTATCTCCTTCTTTTCCTTCTCGCCCTCCTCTCCATTCTGGCGACTCTCCTCTCTTTTTCGTTTGCTATCAATTATCGTTTGCCTCCTCATTTTCTCGTTTTCTGATAATATGATGTCGGTTTCCTTAGCAGCCGCTTTTTCCATCCCCTCTAGCATTACACAATGATTCGGGACCATTTTTTGGGCATTCTGAATACAGTGTGATGTGTATTCGAGAAGGAGAGAAAGAGACTTCGAAGCGATTGACGGCGCAAGGTATAGAGAAGAAAAGGGAATAGAGATCGAGATCCGAATCTAACTTTCGAAGTATTCAGAATCCGATAAAATAGATTCAGAATGCAGATATTATAGAATAAAGCTCAATAATAGAAATTTCAAGCTTCGGAAATCATATGACATTGATTTCAATATTTCAAAATGCATTGTTTTTTATACTGTTTATCAGAATGATGTGAAAACAAGCGGAATGTTCATTTATGTGATTTGTGATTTCGAAAATTTTGAAATTCTATAATCTAAATATTTTGAACGTTCTGGAATGATTCCTGGTTATTATTCTGGTACTAAAAAATCGGGGCTGTGGCCGTGGCTGAAGGTCCCACAAAGAAAACTACAGTAACCTAAGAATATTGTTTTCAAGATTTATTTTCTCTATTTTTACTGATTTTCTCTGACAGGAAAATAACATTTTTGACCGTGAAAAGTACGACTGAAAACGCACGAAAGTCGAGAAAATAGAACCGGAAAATAACAATATTTACAGGTTACTGTAGTTGTCGTTATGGGACCTTCGACCAATTTTTCATAGCTCTGATTTTTTTCTGTGCCAGAATAATAGAATCGTATTTCAAAAATCAAAGTACAACTCATTAAAAAATGAGCTTTGTCGTTTCTATCATAATCAATCATTATCAATGCACCTGATGACTTGGAAAGTGTAAAAAATGCGGTATCTGAGAGCATAAAAAAGGAACTGTCAATCACCAAATGCGCTAACCCTCAAAAAATTTAAGACATTTTTCTACTGAAAATCTGATGGAAGAATCAATAAATTCAGTTCTTCTCAACCAAAAGACAAACACATGAAAAATGAAGGAAAGTGAGGCAAAGAGCGAGAAGGCATACAAATAGAAAAAAAAAAGCGAAACCAAATAAAAATATCATCCATGCACGGGACACAACAAAGTACAGATAGGTGATAGAGAGAGAGAGAGAGAGAGAGAGAGAGAGAGAGAGAGAGAGAGAGAGAGAGAGAGAAAAAACAGGTTGAAACCGAGGAGACTGCATTTCATACAACTGGCGTAGCATAGGTTGAAGTTTACTATGGCTGCGAATCGTTCAAAGGCAAAGGATAGTAACTTTCTGAAAGTGGTAGAATAAAACCTGCGTTGTTCTAGCCTTTACACTTCAAAGGAATATGAAAAGAAGAAATCAATCCTCTGGAACCCGAGTTTCTAAATCTCCAGACCATCCTCTGGAATAATCGGTCTATTTAGTAAACCCATGTTCCTAAAAGTGGCTTTTGAGACCAAAAAACCATGATAGACTACACAAAAACCAAGTTGAACTCGAAAAAGCTTGAAGTTCGCCTTGAACTATACCACGCCGGCCACAGACTACGACTTGAATCAGAGCGAAACGACCCGAACTGTGAAGGAAAAAAAGAAAAGTTTGAAGAAATGTCAAATAGAGAGAATGAGTCACTTTTTATGAGTTGAGCACAAACAAACAAGAAAAAACGAATGTTCAGATGATAAAGGTTTGTAAATTGAAAGCCAAAAATGATATCAGAATATCTAATCAGTTCGTGTCGAAGAATCACAACTACCTAACACCGTGGTAGCTGATGGAGATACTTTTCAAAAATTTTTAATTCATGAAATTAGGGAAAACTAACCGATAGTAGCTGAGTGTTGCATTCGAGTCCAGTACGAACCATCTTTGTCGATATCCTTTTAAATAATTGGTCCATTTGTTCAGCCAGCCCGCCTTTTCTACTGATCTGGAAATTCTTGGATTTATAGTTATTTCAGGCCGTTTTTTTTTTTGAAACGCAGGCGCCGCTGAGTATCGACTTACCGTAAAACCTGTTTTATAACGGCCCCTTTCATAGAAGGACCCTCTGAGAGGGGCTCGGAACAATAGAAGGGTCCCCTTCAAAATGTGTTGCTTTAAATTGAAAATTTACGTGCGTTTTCAGTGAAAAATATTCCGGAAATTCCAAAATTTCACAGAATTTTGTTGAAATACCTTTTTTCGCTCAAAAACTTGCTCAATTTCAGTGAAATTGATAGATTTTTTCCGGTGAAAAATTTAGTAAAAATGACAAGAAAAATAGCCCGTAATAGAAGAGTTCTCCGGAGGTACTGTGGAAAAATAGGAGGACAGGCCCTTCTAATACAGGTTTTTCGGTATTTTTTTCAGTTCAATTTCAAGTTTTCGTGTCGGGACCAACGCTTGTTTACTACGGTATTTAATTCTGAGCTGTCGAAAAAACCGAATTTTTAATTTTCCCCATGCTTCGTGTTTTTAGAATGATACCTTGCACTGAGAAATGGGTGAAAAGACATTTTGAGGTTCCGAATAAGAAATCAAGAGAGAATAAATCTTGCAACGCGTCACAGGTTGGCTCTAGCCAACTACAGTTGATATCTCGAATCTCTGTCAACTCAAAAACTCACGCTAAATGCTCGAAGTTATTAATCGATGTCAACGATGAAGCTCGACCTCGTTGCGATTTTCCAGATGAAGCTGTTGACATTTTATTACTATTATTGCTGTTTTTCTTGGAATTAGATTTCGAGGAATCCGCCTGAAGACGTCTAGGACGTCTTCTCCGTTTTCGGAGAAAATCTGAAAGCACAGGCATCGAATTAATAGAGTGTGAATGAGAGGAGACAGTTCTCCAAACAATTCGAAAAAGATAAGAGATGATAATGACTTAGATAAGAATAGAATAGAATATAAAAATAACAGACATTTGAAGAACTTTGTGATACTATTTTGGTACAAAAAATCGGAGATATGGAAGTGAACTACAGTAACCTATAAATATGTTTCCATTCCGGATTTATTTTCTCAATTTTTGGGCATTTTCAGTAAAAAATTTCGCCATGAAAAATTGTATTTTCTGACTTTTCTGGGGAAAAAACGGAATCGACGAAAAATATTGAGAAAATGAATCTGGAAACAAATTTAGGTTACGGTAGTTATCGTTGTAGGACCTCCGACCGCGGCCACCAAATTTTCTCTTCCACAGCTCCGATTTTTTTGTACCAGAATAATAGGTAACTATTTTTCGAGGATTAGAATTTGAACTAAAATTGGGAAATTCCTATTTTAGGCAAATTGTTCCTCAGGTATTAATAAACTTTTAAAATTTTTTGTGTGAAAAAAGCGAACAACTACCGTAATCAAAATTTTTTCTCATTTTCCGGATAGGTTTTTTCGATTTTCGTGCGTATTTTCCATATTTTTTGAGAAAACAAATTACAGAAAAAATCTACGAAAATCAGTTTTAAAAAACGGTAGTTGTCGTTGTGGGACCTTTGGCTCCGATTTTTTTGTAACTGAGTAATAGTTCAGAGCAGGAGCAGCTTGAAAAAAATAGTTTCGATCAGTTTGATATTCTCAAACTGTACAAAAATATAGACAAAAATTGTCTCTGAGTCACTTTTCAATATTTCTGATGATGTGTCTTTTTTTAGTCACACATTGGTTTAAGACACGGAATAGCAGAACGACTGACCACTCCTTCCTATGCACTTGAAAAAAGAGAAAGGAAACTCAAAAATTGAACCTATTTTTTAAATGAGTGAAATTTTGGAAGGAAAAAAAATAAGGAAAAATACATTTTTGCGTTGTTTTTAAATCACGATAACAAAGTGGGCGAAGAATGGGTGTTATTTGTTCCACAGTCAACAATCAATTACAAGACAGTGTATAGTGGTCCAGTGTTCACCGATTTTCTAGAAAATATTTTTATTTTTGGACTCAAGGTGTTTGGTGGAAGAGAATCGCCAATTCATTTCCCTGCAGAAACAAATGAAATCGGAGAAGCTCAAAAAACGTTGGTGTGGAAAAGAAAGAAATTGGAAAAGAGATAGGTCGTGAAACGAAAAAAAAGTGTGAGGAAACGAATATACGAATATATAACTTGCATCCGAATCTTTCGTATTCACATTCTCTCCTCACTTTTTTACTGCCTATCCAACTGCGCACCGCGCAGGAATCGGATTCTTTGAGAGAAGGACTTATGAGAATTCCTAGTGATTTTTTTTTTGTTTTTGGCAAAAATTTAGAGTTCAAAATGTACGAAAGAAAGGAAGAAGAAACGTTTCGGCTCAGGTGGTGGGAAAAGAGAAACGACAAAAAGAAAAAAGAAAGGTCGGTATGACGACAGGAGGACGGAGAGGAGGAGAAGACAAATAAACATGTCCAAGTGAGAGCCCCACCCCGAAAAGAAACCACACCGCCTTCGCTTTGTGATCATTCCGGGCTTTTTTTTTGAAAGACGAATTCGAAAAACTCAGAATTCAAAGCAGCAGGAATTTGAATTTAAACTTTGGTAACAAAAGTTCTGGTAACTAAACTTCCACCGACAACAATTTTTGGGAACGTATTCAAAGCTTTTAAATGCTTTTCATCAATATATGGAGACTATTTTTAATTCAAGAAAAACTGTTGAAAATTTTGAAAAATTGATAAATTTAAGTGGAACCGGTTAGAGATCTTTGGCAAGCAAACGAGTGATTTGTCGAGCAAACACTGGGAAACTTGAGCGTCTAAATTTATCTATTTACTTTATAATCTTCACGATAAATAACTTTGAAGGAAAAAAGCGAACAGAAAAGCTGAAGGAGGTACTGTAAACTTAAAGGACCATGGCTGGAAAGTTTTTCTCGTGGTGAGGCCCCAACAGATTACGAAAAAAATTTTTTACATTTTTCACTGCTTCTGATTCAGAAATTCTGAATAAAATGATCCTTTTTTGAAAACCTTCCATGAAGTCATTTTTAAACCCTCCTTTAAAAAAACGGACTTTTTCCCATCATCGTTTCTCTGTCGTCTCTCATTCTCGACCGCCTCTCTTTTTTTGTGTGGATTCTCTATCGATTTTCGTCCGGTTTTTCAGAAAAGGTTTTTCAGAATTTAACACATTTAATCTACTATTTATATTTATTCTAATAATAAAATGAGCCAGCAAAATGAATGTAAGATTCAGTCATAAACATAATAAATGTATTTACATTATCGGTTTGCAGCCCAGGATACGGAACATCGGCTGGCTTCTGAAAGCGAAAAAGCTTATAAAATAATCTGTGAAATGCCTAACAGTAAGTGATTGGTTTTTCTAAAAATTCTATCTTGAAAAACTTTTAGAAATGCACGATATTCGAATGTCGAAAATCCAGTCATGTCTCGATGATGCTCGAAAAACAAACTGGATTTATGTTGGAAACTCATTTCGGGACCCTTTGCCATCTTCCAAGCAATAACCTGTTATAGATTCTCAAATCGTGTCATAGTTTCTGAAACTCGTGTGATATTTTATCCATTCCATAACAAACCATTATATTTTATCGAATAAAAATTTGAAACAACGGGAAGATTGAAAAAAATCGAGACAATAATTATTTAGTAGGAACATCGGAAAACATCATGGCGGGAGAGAGATGATTCATCGTTTTTTGTCACCAAGGTCATCAATGAGCTCATCAGTCACCTGAGGCCATTTCTCTGGGATAAAGTCCAGCAAGTCGTCTTTTACGTCTCCCTGGATGACAATCTCGTCTGCGCCAGTCACTGAAGAGCCACACGCGAACTTTTGAGCGAAGAGCTTCGATGCAACTTTTAGCTCGATATCTGAAAGTATTCATTGAAATTTTAGGACATTTCTACGACTCACCGAATGTCGCAAGACCTTTAATGACTGTTACACTCTTTTTGCCACGTGGCTCTCTTTGCAGGGTTACCTTCTTTGGTCCACTCTTTTTCTTCCCTCCAGCTGCAGCAGCCGCACCAGTTTTCGATCCTTTGCCTCCTCTCTTTTGCTTCTTCTTCTCATCGCCTTCTGCTGGCTCTTCAGAGATCTCGAGTCCTTCAAGAAGTTCTGGAGCATTTTGGGTAGCCCACGCACGGCAAAGATCTGTTTGGCCTGAGTAGTCGCAGTACTCGGTTGGCATTGAGCATTCTGGAATAGAAAAACTTATATTGACTTAGTGGATTACTATATATCTTACGGCCACAATAGAAGACCTTCAATGGATACGAAACTCCCTCTGTGGGACCAGGTGCAAGAGACTGAATGACAGCGGTTTCACCATATTCGGAAGTCATTCTGTATATTCAAAAAAAACTCATTGATTTCTATTTCTGATAAATAATGAACAATACTTCTTCAGGTATGATATTCTAGATAAATACATTCTTTAAAAATCAAAGAGCATCCGATAAAAGTAAACCCATTTTTATAAACAAAAAAACCAAGAAATGCAGGAGTATCACAACCATATAAGGAAGAACAGACAACATAAGTAAACCCAGGGAATGACTAGCAGAAACTTTTGATTTTTGGCAAATATTACATAGAAAAACGAAACCGTGCAGATTCTAAATACTTTGTGACACAGGTGAAGGGGAAAAATACAGCAAGAACTATTATGCTTGTCTGAGAAAAAAAAGGTTGAGACGAAGAGAAAAAGTGTCTGCGTCTCCACTTAATATGTGCTATTTAGGCTCTCCGCTTCGATATCGCTACCGGATTCAGACTGCAAAAAATACTCTCTAACCTTTTTTTTTCTCAGACAAGCATAATATCACAGATGGAGCAATTTTTGAATTAAGTTCAGAGCATGATAAAGCATTAATTTTAAAGTTTTAGAAGTGCAATAAATATTGTTTATAATTTATGTCTATTCGGCTTTGGCAGGATCGACGAAGTTCCACTTTTGATGTGCATCGTTTTCGTCGCATTCCACCACAATTGCATCGTCGCCAGCCTTTAAATTAGCTGTAGATAGACAATTTCCAGATTTCAAGTTACGAAGCATTTGTTTCTGAAAATAATATAATTCGTGATAGTTTTAGAGAAACCGATTACTTCATAAGCCCATCTTTCATTAAACTGTGCTCGCTTGGAGCATGCTTTCATCCGAACGTTTCCATTTTCTTCGGCAGCACAGGTGTTCTCTCGACGAAGATATCCTTCTTTTGATAATGACATCAACTGCGGTGAGCTTCCCTTTCCTTGACAATGGAACACTCCCAGAAGTTGAGACATCTTCTCATCTCTTTGTAAAGTATCGGTACACATTCGAGTACCACTTACGACTGTGTGAAGCTGAAATTACACGGATATGGACTAAATTTGATCGATTTACTCACTGCTCCGTATGCCAGCACGTCCTCGTCCATTATGAATTTACCTTTGGCAATATTGTCAAGGAACCACTTGAATGATTTACAATTCAAACGTTTACGGAGTTCGTGTCTAGCAGTCAGGTCTCCAACATCCTTGGTTCTCAAATCTTCTCGATGCATGTAGTAGAGCCTTTTATAGTCGTCCATCCATACTTCTGCCAGACGTTTGGAATTCGTACCATGAACATCTTTGTTATTATTTCGTCCTGTGTACGTTTAATTGAGAATAATACAACATCTCAAAAGCTTACCAGTCATATTGTAAGGATGCCCAGCTCGGAAAATGTGTCCCACATGTGAACAAGGAATGAATTCAATAGAGCCACCACACATCCAGTTTCTGAATGAAATCTCGAGATTTTCTCCTCCCCAGATATCCATTTCCTCATCGTATCCTCCGACTTCGAAAAAGTATTCACGATTTGCTGCTAACAGACCACCTGCCATTGTAGGAGATCTAATATAGTCGGTGACTTTGGTACGACGCTTCAGTTCTTCATCGGGCAATCCTTCCCATGTGAAATGAAGTGCCCACGAGAATCCACCAACTGAAAGAGACCAGTCTCCGTGATATGCCAACGTTGAATCCGAAATCGAGTCAATCATTGGGCAAACAATAGCGGTTCTTTCGTCACTGATCCTCTGAACGATTGGCTCCAACCATCCGTGGTTTGCTTCACAATGAGAATCAAGAAATACAATGATATCTCCCACGGCCTCGCGAGCTCCAGCTAACTTTGCACGAATCAGACCATGTCGAACATGCTTTCTTATCAGACGAACTTTTCCGCCGAATCTCTTGATATGCTCGTCAAGTGGTTCTTGAAGCTCCTCTGAAACTCAGCTTTATGAAATTTAATTTTGAACGAAGAACTAACGTCGTTTACTGTTATCATCTAACAAAATAATTTCCTGCAACAGTTCTGGAGGACTTCGATTGATTACAGAATGAACCGTTCTCAACAGCGGTGTCCATGCTTCATCGGTGAAGATTATGATCACAGAAGTTTTTGGTAGAGTTGCATAATCATATTTTATGTCTTTGCAAGCCTGTATTCTTGGATCTGGTACATCCCGATCAAGTGAGATTTTATCAGAAGCATGCACGTTCATGAACCATTTTTTCATATCTGCATGTCCGAGTTCTGCTTCTTTTCCTGAGAGAACAACCGGCTTTCCCTTCTCTCCTGGACCTTCGCGTGGCTGGGAATAGTCGGGAATTCGATGTAATTCTCCATTCCATGCTTCAGGAAGCCGTACTAGTTCTTCTGCATACTTTTCTGTAAACTAGGTGCATTCCGTGGTTGAACACAAAAACAAGTCTCTTGAAAATATTCTTGCGTTTTTGATTGCTGCGGAAAGATAGCCCAAAATCTTACCAATATCCGGGAATTGGAATTTCGCTCGTCGCCGATCGTTTCGGTGATAGATAACGATGCAGAAGAAGGCGACAGTGAGAAAGGCGGCGATGACAAATGAGCCCTTCTTGCGAGGAATAATGTACCGAAGCATTCTGAAAATAACTGAAACACTTTCAGACATATTTTTAGTTTTAACGATGAATAAAAACGATGACCCAGTTATTAAAAACTCGAAAAAACCAAAATAAAATTGAAAAACGTGGCAAAATTATGCAAAGGGCCTAGTTTTTGAAGAGAGCGCGGCCACGACCCCGAGGGAGAACATGCGCGGGAAATCAAATTTTGAAGGCTTCGGATGTCTTCATATTGGAAACTCATTTCGTTTCGAAGATAAAAAAAGTCAATAAATTCATTTCAGTAATTTAAATCATTAAGAGTAAATGGGTTGAGTTGTCTCGATTGTTTTTCTGCAGATGTGACATTGTTTGTTGAGCTTATCCGCACATTCAACACAAGCAGTATGTCCACAGTTGAAGACAATCTGAAACAAGAAGTTTAAATTATATAGAATAAATCGCTGTTTTGAAAACCTCAATTTTCGAATCCATACAAATAGCACAACTAGTTTCTAATTCCAACTGCTCCAACTTCTTTTTCAACAAGTTTAGCTCATTCTGTTTCTCTCGTTCGACCTCAATCTTCGCCTCTCGAGCAGCATCTTCAGCGATTTTCTTGCAGTACTCAGCAGATAATTGCGGGGTTTTACGATCAAAGTCTGATGGTTCGCCGGATCGGAAACCGATTTGAACAGGAACACCATCTGAAATAATAGATAGTGGATACTGTGCCCAGATTCGAGAAAAAGACCTTGATCATGTGCTTCAGCAATAAACTGATAACACACTGGACAGCGTCGAATGGCAGTTTTTTCAGCACAATCAACGCATGCAACACGATGTCCACATGGATTCAGTTTCACAGTTGCAACAGAATCCAAACATGAAAATGTGCACATTGTGACTTCTGCAGCATCGAATTTATCGAGAGCCATAGACATCATTGGCATAACGGTTCTGAAACAATTCTGAAGGTTTTACTTAAAGTTAAAGTTGGAATGATATACCTCTGTTTGGTCTGCGAAATGTGAACGATGATTGGACGAAGAGATGAACCAGTACAAAGATCAACGGCACTCACTCCTTTTCTATCTCTAAAAAGAAAACATTTAGGTTTTCAATAAAAATGTTGGAGACAAACTTAATATTCAAATCAGCACCATTGGAAACCATGAAACAAATTGTGGCCAACTGCCATTTCGGACGAAGTCGACTTGCCATTTCATCAAGGTTCAGGTTAGTACGAATCAGCTGAGCACACACTGGAATCAATGTCGGCGGATACTGCTCGTTCGTTTTCATAATTTCTCTGAAAATAATAAAGTTAGAAAAAACCCAAAAAACAATGAAACCTAATAAGCTGAAACAGGGGAGTTTGTCCATTCAAATCGACTAGATTGGACGGGGCTCCAGCTCTGACAAGAGCTTGGATTGTTGCCAAACGACCACAATCTTTGTCAGCTTCTCCAGTCCATTTTTCCAGTGCATAGTGAAGAACTCCACGGCCGAACTTGTCCCGCCGGTGGACTTCTAGCCCTAACTGAAATCAGAATTTTCAATTTTCAGCGTCTGAAGGAACATACAGAAATCAACTTATTCACAACATTCACATGACCACATCCAGCGGCATAATGTAGTGCATTCATTCCATTTTTTGTTGTGGTATTACGGTGGGATGAACGGAGAAGAAGTAGTTGATCAACCGTGCTAAAAATTACTATAAAACTGAAAGTTGGAGAAAAAAGTTACCTGACATGCCCCTCAGCAATCGAAATTTGCAACGGTGTCATACTTGAGTTGTTCATCTGATGAATATTTGCACGCGTGTTGGTTAGAATTCGACTGATGGCTGCTTTCTGAATCGATAAAACACAGTAAAACCTGTAATAGAAGGGCCCCAGCACTGTCAAGTTTGACCTCAATTTTCTCAATTACTATGCAAGATATCAAGGATGTGTTAATTGGCAAAATATTTTTGACATTATGATAAACAATTTATCAACTGACAACCTTTTCATATCTTTTACAAGAACAAAGAACAACCCTGAACGGACGATTGGCGGCTGAACGGCGGCTGAGTGGGTGCGGGCGTGTTACTGGCGGTGGAAAGTAGGCATACTTTGTAAAATAATGCAAATTTTTAGATAAATAAAATATTTGGAAAATTTTCAAAGTTCAGAAAATGCTTCGAAGTTTAGAAGGAAATGTTTGGAGAGGATGGAAACGCTTTCTTGACTTCTTGACTATGCCTACTGTAAAACCTGTAATAGAAGGGTCCCCACACTGTCAATTTGACCTGATTTATCTTCGTTACTGTAAGTGATATAAAAAAAGTGATCAACTAACAAAAAATTTCTAGTATTATGATAAACAATTCTTCAGTTGACAAATTTTTCTATCTTTGACTGGAACCGAGAAAAACTGGATCAAACTTGAAAGTTAGAAAGCCCTCCTATTATAGGTTTTACGATCTAATCGTCAAAAGCATATTTCCCTTTTTACCTTATTTCCAGATTCTGGAAGTTTGCAAACTTCATGTAGCGGAGTGTCTCCATTCTTATTAGCAACACACGGAAGACAAGCACTAGTTCCCAGAAGACGATCAATGCATGCTGCATGAGCGTGTCGAGCAGCCAGATGAAGTGGAGTATCTCCGTTGGCAGATTGAGAGTTGACCTCTTTTGGAAGTAAGAGTAAAACACCTTCTAACATTTTATCGAGTCCTCTGGAATAGAACATAAACCGGTTACATTGATAAGACTCTCAGAAGAGGAACGTACCTCTCAGCTGCCACGTGGACAATAGTTCTTTCGCTTCCATCCCGTACAGTCTTATCAGCTCCCAGTGAGATCAACATCACAACTACATTCCACAGATCATCAGAAACTGCACGGAACAGAGGAAGCTGTCCATCAAATAGACTGCGAACTTGTTGAGGATTCGCACGAATCGATTCAACCAATTTAGCATAACTTCCAGAGTCTTCTGTCCAGTTTATGATAATGTTCATCAAGTTTTCCGTTGTATAACCGTGAATAGTGTGCTGAATGTTTAAACATGCCAGGTTACTGTAGCTAGAAAAATGGATTACTGTATCTTCCAGTTGGCTTAAAGGGGGACTCCGACCAAAAACTGTTTTCGTGCCAAAATAGTTCCAATGTTATGTATTTTTCTATGTTTTTTCTTAAAATATGGTCAGCGTCCCCTTTAAATAAAACTAAATTGGGTTACTGTAGATAGACGATTTTACTACTGTATCTTCCAGTTTGCTTGAAATTCCCACACTACAGTACAGGGATGTTCGGAACGGAAATCGGAATATTCCGAAGTTCCGAAATACCGACATTTGAAAAGTCGAAATTTTCTACATTCCGAAAAATTCCGAAAAGACCATTCCGAACATCCCTGCTACAATAATCAAACTCACTTTATAAGTATGAATACTGTGCTCATTTCTATCTCTTGTGATCATTGACAACCTTGGTCCCGAATAAACCGGGCACAAAAACAAGTCCCTTCTCCCATCAGTCCATCCTGGATTCACATCGACAGTCACTTGAATATCTCTCATCACCGTTGGATTTTCAGCATTTTTCAGAGAGACATACCACTTTGGAACACCTTCAAAGCTGACGATCTCATTTGCAGCAATCACTCCAATTGAAGTTTTTATTGGGTCGCCACGTGTTATTGCTACAACATCCCCTTTCGAATGTTCAACCATTCGAGGATATTCCAAAGCTTCTAGAGGCCATTCTGTCAGAATTTGTAACTGAAAATCTAGATACTATTTCGAAAAATTTTTCATGGTTCTCACAAGATCTGTACAGGGAGGAAGTGTGTAAAAAATTCGGACTTCTGCGGTTCTTCTTGCTTCATTTAGACTGTAGATAAATCCGACATGTCCAAGAAGCTTAAGTTTTTAACGTTTCTTTAACGTTCAAGAGATTGTCAACTCACAGCCATATGGGTTTTTGTCCAGCTAATGTTATTGTACAGATTTCTTCGTTGAGCATGATTCGGACCTATTTCTGATATAAGAACTCGATCCCCTAAACGAAATTCATTTATCGATTGGGTGCTATCGACAGAATTTTCATCTTCTTGATCCATGTTTGGTGACTACAATACCATCTGGCAGCTTTGTTGAGTACATTGTCACTTCCAACTGTTTCTAGATCAGAACGCTTCACGTAAAAATTGGGATTACGGTTAGCGACCACAGCAAAAGGGGCGGAGCCTAATTTTTTCTCTCCGTGGAGGTGTATCAGAGATGTCCGGATTCCGGATTCCGTGAAAAATATTTTTGTCCGGATTCCATATTCCGGATTCCGGAAAATTTTCATTTGTCCGGATTCCGAGAAAATGTTTTATCCCGGATTTTAAGCACATTCGTTAATTTGCAAGTATCTTCCTTAAAACGCTAGAGGTGTCTGTCTGTCCCGTTGTCACTCTGTCGACTTTTGAAAAGCTTGAAGAATATATAGATTGAAAAATTGAATCGCGCCGAAGGTGCACCAGCTTGCTGCTCTCTAATATTTTTGAAGTTCCGCGACTAAAAATGCAAAAATATAGCACGATATGTGTTTTTAGAACTTTTCTGCCAATTTGGAGGACTCAAATATCCGAATTCCGTATTCCGTATTCCGGATTCCGGCAAATTAGTTCTATTCCGGACTCCGGATTCTGAGAAATTTTCTTATTCCGCATTCCGTTTCTCAAAAAATTCATTCCGGACATCTCTGGGGTGTATTGGATTTTTGATTGGCTGTAACGCAAGGTAGAAGTGAAGGATCGGTAGGAAGGTACTGTTCGCAGGGTTTTGGAATCCAGTGGTGTATCAATTGAACCTCGTAACATTTTCAACGAGAATCATTTATCCTGCTAAAGACATGGCACAAATTTATGTTTAAAAAAACAAGAATACCAGTGGAAGAAAACTACCGACCCTTATGTGATTTTTTTTTATCAAAAAAATTTTTTCGAGTTTTTTTTATATTTTTTGATCAGACAGACAAACAATCCAAAAAGCAAAAAAAAAAATTGAAAATTGTATTGAGAGCTCAAAATTCGGTTCAAAATGACAAAATTTTTGCTACCGGGTTTTTCGGGCCGGATCCGGGCCTTGAAATTTTCCTCAAGCCCGGCTCGGAATTTTACAAGTATGCTCGAGGGGTACATTTGAACGGAATTTCGAGAACATTATTTTTTTTTCATGTCCCCCCACCTTTAAACATTTTACGGTTCGTTCCCAAAACTCTGAAAACTTTTTTTTTAGATCAGCCCCCAAAAAAGTAGAAAGAAAAAAAGCAACGATGACCGGATCACTACTTTTTGTTATTCTTTTTCAAACTCTTCCACGATTTTCATATGGTCTCTAATTCTCCGATCTCAGAATATGAGAAATTACTGATCTCGAAACATATAATTCTTGGAAATCGAATCTTAAATACGAATATCAAAATCTGATCCATTCACCAGGAAACAGACTCATACTATTCTAATCCAATTTTTGGGGCATACATCAATTAGATCCAGAAAAATTCCATATTTATTTTCCAACCACCGCTTTTTCTTCCCAAATCGTCCTTTTTTCAGACTAGCTTATCGAATTATGGTTGTTTTATTGAGAATAACAATAACAGCATATCCAGGTTTAATCGTTTATTCAGATGACTTCTTTTTTCCCAAGACACATGTGTGATCATGCATGGTCAGAATTTTAAAACCAGATTTTATGAATTCATTTGTATTTCCTACCAGCAAGCTGGTGCGCCTTCGGCGCGATTCAATCTATTTTTTTTCAAATGTTCGTCGCTTCGTTTCTCCCTTTTTCTAAATAAAGTAAATATACCGTAAAACCTCTAATAGAACGACACCCGGATCGTCCACTTTGAGCCTATATATCTCATTTCTTTTGAAAGATATCAAAAAGTGGCTAACTAGTAAAATGTTGCTGATATCCTGATAAACATTTTACTAGTTAACCACTTTTTGATATTAATAAGGAAGATATTTGAACCAGATTTTAGAACTTTTTTTTAAAAGTTTTCCATTTGGTAAACTTGAGTACATTTTTCCATGGTTATGATTAGGGACCAAAACTTTTTTTTTCAAACAGTTTTTTTCCAAAATGTTTTAATTCTTATGATGGATCTGATTGAGAAATATGCGAATCGGCGGAGACATCAAAATTAGAGGACACCTTACAACGAAACCCGGAGAAAACCTGACAACGAGAGCAGAAGGAAACCGCGCAAAAAAACAAGAGAAAATAAGAAAGTTCACGAAGTTCACTGAAGCAGGCGAAGAAGACGAAGAGGGCATCATTTGGTCCATAACATCCACCTGAACTTTGTCATAATTTTTAGATTTTTTGATACTTTTTCATTTTTGTTACCTTTTCAGAACTTCTCCAATAGTTTTGAGAAATTCTGCATTTGTGCTTCCATGATAGGTTCTGCGACGGAGGTGCTGATGATGAGCATCCTAAATTAGTTCAATTGCCAAAATGATCCGTTTCGAGGTCCAAAGATTTAGGGTTTCCTATTATTTATCTCACAAGTATTTTTGGTTTTTTTTAACCAAAACTGATTTCTGGCAAAAAGAAAAGAGATGCCCAATTTTCCTATCCCGAAAGGTTCTCAATTCAAAACTGTTTAAATCCCAATTCACTCACCATTCAATCCATTCCACTATTCATGACATTGAAAACCACCGATCCATCCTGGAAGGCCAAGTAGTTGCTTCTTCGACGAGGACAGAGAAAGAAATCAACACAAAAAACAGTTGAAAAACTGAAAATAAGAAAGTTCACGAAGTTCACTGAAGAAGGCGAAGTGGACATCTCGGCATCGTACATAATCTCCATCTGAAAACTTTTTTATGATTTTTAGAAAACTTTTCTTTTTTGCTACTTTTTAAAAACATTTCCAATAGTTTTGAGAATTGGGCATTTACGATTCCAATATAGGTTCTCCGACAAGCTGCGGCTGATGAGCGCCCTGAATTAGTTCTATTGTTTTAAAATGATCCATTTCGAAATCTAAAGGTTTAGGGTTTCTATTTTCAATCTCAAAAATATTTATGAGTTTTTTTAAACCAAAACTGATTTTTGGAAAATCAAGTAAAGATATACTCCTATCCCGAAAAACTCAAAAATCCCAATTCACTCACCTTTCAATACATTCCACTATTCCTGACATCTGATACATCGAAAACTTCCTGGACATCTCGACATTATTTAATCCGTACATCCATCTAAAAACGTTTTTATAATTTTTGGAAAACTTCTATTTTTGATACCTTTTTAGAAATTTCCCAATGGTTTTATGCATTTGTTCATTCGTGTTTCCAAAAAACGTTCTGCGCCGGAGCTGCTGATGATGAACGCACTAAATTAGTTTAATTGTCAAAATGTCCTATTTTTTATCTCACAAGTATTTTTGGTTTTTTTAAACCAAAACTGATTTCTGGGAAAAAGAAAAGAGATGCCCGATTTTCCTATCCCGAAAAATTCTTAATTCAAAACTGTGTAAATTTCAATTTACTCACCATCCAATCCATTCCACTATTCCTGACATCGAAAAACACCGATCCATCCTGGAAGGCCAAGTAGTTGCTTCTTCAGCGAGGACAGAGAAGGTAATCAACACAAACAAAAACAAGAGAAAATAAGCAAGTTCACGAAGTTCACTGATGCAGGCGAAGTAGACATCTCGGCTTCAGTTGGTCCGTAGAATCCCACTGAAATTTTTTTCATGATTTTTAGAAATCCTCCATTTTTATTACCTTTTCATAATTTTTTCAATAGTTTTAAGAGTGGGTGCATCCGTGTTTCCAAGAGTGGTTTTCCGACAGAGCTGCGGCTGATGAGCCCACTAAATTAGTTCAAATGTCAAAATGATCCATTTTGAGGTTTAAAGATAACGTGTAGAGTTTCGAGCAGAGTTTCTTCTAATTTTTCAAAAAGAATTCCCGTTTCTTGAAACTACAACGCTTAGTGATTCTAAACTTTTATCAGAGCTGATTTTTGGGAAATCAAGAAAAAAGAAGTGCCAAATTTTTCTATCTCGAGAAAACCTTTTAAAGACCAAAAATCCCAACTTTCTTACCTTTCAATCATCCATTCCACTATTCCTGAAATCTGTCACATTGAAAACCACTCATCCTGGAAGGCCAAGAAATCGCGTCGTTATCGAAGCCATGAAGCTTCTGAAAAAGAAATTTTGTACTAGAAAATAGGTACTACAAAAAGTTTTTTCCTTTTTTCGAAAACGGAAAAAATAGAACTTCCCGAAACCTAATGTCTGTTAATTCTAACACTTTACCGATATCCTCACCTTTCACTCTATTCTGCTTTTCCGATCCTTCGAATTTGCCAATCCTGAAAGTTGTCGTTGAAGTTCCATGTCCAGTGAAACGGGGCCCGCAGAAATCTGCAAGATCCTGCAACTTGAACGTTGGAAACTGAGTACTGATTCTTTTCGAACTCTCCTGGATCTTAGACTTGCCCTCATTTTGCTAGGGCTTCTCATAGGTTACGGAAAACTATTGAAGCATCAGAGAATCAGAAAAAGGTAAGAAGCACGTAGAAAATAAAAATGATCACTGTACTTTGAAAAATATTTGAGGAATGCGGTAGGGGAAAATATTAGAAATTGAAAAGGATTACTGTAGTTTGAAAAATGTTCGAAAATGAAAGGATTACTGTAGAAAGAACTGTTTGAAAATAAAAAGGATTACTGTAGTTTGAAAAAAATTGCAAATGAAAAGATTACTGTAGATGGAAAATATTCGAAAATGAAAAGGACTACAGTTTGCTTCCTGGCGAACGGATCAGATTTCAATTTTCCTTTTCATGTTCCGGTTTTGAGATCAGCACTTTCTGATATTCTGAGATCTTAAAATAAAAATCATGTAAATCGTTGAAAGAGTTTTTGACCAATCATAATTCGACAAGCAAGTCTTTGATAAATTTCGATTTCTGTTTTCTAACACATAAAGTATTAAAAAAAATTCAGAGAAAAACTAAAATCCACACATTCCAGCAACATTTTGCAGGTATAATACTTTTTCGTTAGACCTCGATTGTTTCTGTTTTAAACGATTGATTTTAATTATTGTGATAAACTGGTTTGGAATAATTTTTTTTCTCTGCTCGACTTTGCAGTTGGCTGTACAATCTAATAAAAATTTGAAAAATACACCTAACTGTTACAGAATACAAACAACTGATTTATTAAAAGTTTAGCTTCAGAACCTCAAAACAACGAAATCCTTTATCCCGTTGTTAACAATTTTCAATTCCACGGAATCGATGAAGTCTCCAAATTGAAGCTATGAACCTGAGACATCCCAACAGAATTTTTAAAACCCAATGTAACAGAAACAGAAAGCTAGAATCCAGAGAATGATTATTATTCAGATAATTCGGTTATTCGATTTATTTTTCTTCTGATCTTGTTTTCGCTTTTTTTCGTTCCTTCACCCACTAATTGAGAGTTTTCTCTTTTTTACAGTCTCCTTTGCAACCAATTATCTTGTCCGAGAGGACTTCGCGGCGCATGGAAGAGCAGCGAATTCCTAGTCCCCGGGCCGAACCCGCGAATATTTTTCTTCGAATCGAATTTGAGATTTCTTCAATTTGGTTCTTTTTTTCAATTATAGGACCAATTTTCGAGTTTGCAAAGTATTTTGTTGACTGCAAAATAATTGAAATATCCTTTTTAAACCAATTTATGCTATTTTTACAGTCAACATCCGATCACTTGATGCAATAAACAAATGAAGATCAAAGAAGTTCGTTTAGTTTCAAACCCCAGCAAATATTTTCATTAAAATTTTAGGTTCGAATCAACGGCTTTCGAAGTTACAAAGACAATACCCATGTCTCCGGATTCAGTCCGCGGTCGAATGTAGTTGTCGGCAGAAATGGCTCTGGAAAATCCAATTTTTTCCATGGTTTGTTTATTGAAGAAGTTGTTCCCCTATTTGAAAGTTTTCAGCTATTCAATTTGTTCTCTCTGACGAATATGCACACTTGAAAGAAGAACAACGATTAGGATTACTTCATGAAAGTACTGGACCGAAAGTTGCACATGCTCGTGTTGAAATTACATTTGACAACTCTGAAAGACGACTCATGGCTTTCGACAACTCAGAAGTCAAAATCGTTCGTCAAGTGGGCAAGAAGAAGGATCAATACTACATTGACAACAAGATGGTCCCACGTGCTGAGGTAATTCTGCTAAATAAGGCGGGGGATCTAATTAAAAAAGTTCGTTTCAGGTCGTTAATCTCATGGAATCAGCTGGTTTCTCGCGATCCAACCCTTACTATATCGTCAAACAAGGAAAAATCAACGAGTTGGCTACATCTCCAGATAGCTACAAACTCAAGTTATTAAGAGAAGTAGCTGGAACCAGAGTTTATGACGAGAGAAAAGACGAAAGTATGAAGATTCTGAAAGAGACGAGTAAGACAAAAATTAGTTTATTGATATCGAAAATATCACGAATTTTCAGAAATGAAGACCGAAAAAATCCAAGGCCTTCTGAAGTACATTGACGAACGTCTTCAAACATTGGAAAACGAGAAGGAGGATTTGAAAGAGTATCAAAAGTTGGATAAGACTAAGAGAAGTATTGAGTACACGATGTATGATAACACAAACAAGGAGGCCATGAAAGAAAAGACGAAATTGGATCTTGCGAAGAGTGAGATAACTAGCAAGGATAATGAAGTGAAGAATAGATTGGCTGAGTTGGTTGTTGAAGTTGCAAAGTGCAAAACGGAAAAGAGCAAGTTAGATGCTCACGGAAGAGCTCTTCGCGAAGATAAAGAGACATTGCATACCGAAAAGACCAAAATGACGGAAAATGATATAAAACTGTCTTTAGAAATCAAGTCTTTGTTAGAAGAAAATTCGAAGTGAGTTAAAAAATATATGCTTTGGTAATATCATGAAATTTTCAGTGAGCGGGAAGGCCGTAATAGGGCTGAGGAGTCTTTGCAAACAGTCACTGAAGAAATCGCCAAATGTGAAGAAGAGCTAGAAGTGATCAAGCCGCAGTATGTGGAGCTCGTTCAAGAAGAATCTCGATTGAATACCGACATTCGAATTAATGAGTCTCGTATGAAGGAGATTATGGCTAAGAATCAACGCCCGCGGTTTGAGACAATTGCGGAGCGTGATAGGGCTCTCAACGAAGAAATCAACCATTTCGCTAGTCTTATTCAAGATAGAAAAGAGCAATTGGCGATTGTTCAACGAGAGTTGGAAGACGTTGAAAAAGAAGAAATCAATCTCAATAATGATGTTCAGGTATTTGAATTAATTTAATTGAATTTTGGTTCTACTTCTGAAACTGTTTAGGCTATGGGCCTGAAAATTAGCGAAGCCCGTTTGCAAATGGACAACATTACCGAAGAACTTCCAAACCTCAAGGATCAGTATGATAACGCCTATAACGCTCTACAGTAAGTTGTATTAAAATGTAAAATTTGTATATTCTGTTATTTTTAAATAATGTAGAAAACCTACAATTTTTAAAAATCTATTTTCCTCATCGTAACTAACTTTCCAGGAGTGCTTCTCGTGAGGAAAAAGCTATTAGAGACCAAATCGCGAATCTTGAACAAGATGAAACCGCTGTCTATGATCAATTAAGAAGACTAGTTGCCAGAGTGAGTAAATTTAATCCGTTTTTTAAAATTATAGCAAATATTCCAGCCGATTTTCAACGGAATCAACGGTGTTAAACAGGTGATGAAGGAGTTCGAAAGAGATAATCACAATGGACAGCATGACGATGTGATTAGAGGATTTCATGGAACTCTAATTGAGTTGATTGAAGTTGATCAAATGTTCATCACAGCGTTTGAAGTTATTGCTCAAAATCGTCTGTTCTATCATGTTGTGGACAATGATCGGTATTTTTTTCCCTTCAGATGATATAAATCGGTTTCATAATTTATAGGATTGCATCCAAGATCTTGAGAAAGTTCAACGAGATGCAACTTCCTGGAGAGGTCAATTTCTTCCCAATGAATCGTGTCAGTGCTCCGAGAGAGAAAACATTCACTCCGAGAAAGGATGCTCGTGCGCTCTCGGACGCGGTTGATTACGATGCGAAGTTTGACAAAATCGTTCGTACCATCACCGCCAATGTAGTCATCGTTCGTGCTCTGGATCAAAATGCTCGAGAAATCCGTAACGAACAGTTCGATGTTGTGACTACTGATGGTGATCAAATGTCGAGAAAGGGAGTGATGACTGGTGGTTTCATTGACAAAAAACGAAGCAAATTGGAAACCCATAGCAAGAAGATGGCCATCAAGAGAGATATCGATGCTCTTAAAGTGAACCTGAGAGCTGCTGAGGATAACGTTAAGGAGAAGACTCGCGAAGCGGAGCAAGCTAGAAATCGCATGACACAAAGCGAGAATATGATTATTGATTTGCATCGCAGACATCGTGAATTGACTGAGGCTAAGAAGGCAATCAGTCAACAATATTTCATGGTTGCAAAAATGAAAGAGCCCAAGACCGATCAGATTGTGCAAATCAAAAATCGCCTTCGCGAACTGGAAGCACAACAAGCTACTCTTAAAGCAGAACTTGGAACTGAAATGAATTCACAGCTTTCCGCTGAGGAACAGAGAACGTTGCAAGAGCTTAGAGTAGATTTATCTATTTGAGACAAAGCTGAAGGTTTGTTTTACAGACAGCAGTGGACGAGATGAAACGAAAGTTGGCAGATGTCTCTCAAAGTCGTATGGATCTCATGCATCGCAAGAACGGCATAGAGAATCGATTAACGAAGAAGTTATACAAAACGAAGGAAAATCTCGCATCGGTAATGATTTTCTGGCTTTTTGTTATATTCAATTATTTTGCTTAGCGTGTCGAGAACATCACAGACCACGAACGCTCTCATCGACTTAAAATCGCAGAAGCCCAACGGGCTTCCCTTCAAACACAGATGAAAACGATCGATGATCAGTTGGAGGCGGCAAGTAGAGAACTCGAAGAATTCGAAAACCAGGAGAAATCAATTTCAAATAATCTTGAGAGTTTCTTAGAGCAACAAAAAGATAATGAGAAACGACAAAGAGATTTCCAAGCTGAGCTGGACAAAATTATGGCGAAAGAAGAGGAAGTGAAATTGAAGAGAGAGGACAGCTTGAGAAAAATGCGCCTCCTTGGAGCCCTTCCAACGGACACATTCTCTAAATGGCAGAATGTGAAACAACGAGATTTGGAGAAGAAGTTGATCGAATGTGTGAACGATTTGAAGAAATACGAAAATGTCAATAAAAAGGCTCTGGATCAATATATGACTGCTTCTACACAAAAAGAAGAGTTGACCAAGAGAATGGATGAGCAGAAGAGGAGTGAAGCGGTAATTCTTAGTTTTTAAAAGCGTCGAAAATTGAAAAAAGAAGTTTTCAGTCCATCGAAGAATTGCTCGAGGTTCTAGAGAACCGCAAATTTGAGGCCATCGACATGACGTTCAAACAGGTTTCTAAAAACTTCAAAGAAGTTTTCAAACAGCTTGTTCCACATGGTAACACTTTTTTTTGAACTTAATATGAAATTTTCGATTTTCAGGAAGTGGAAAAATGACATTGAAAGCGGGCGATGAACAGGATTCAGATCCGAGCAGACACAGAGTTGAATCTTATCAAGGAATCACCGTGATGGTTTCCTTTGTTTCGGATGATGGTACCTCGGAAACCCGCGAGATGACTCAACTCTCAGGAGGACAAAAGTCCCTTGTTGCCCTTGCTATCATTTTTGCGATTCAAGTAAGTTTTCTCTTTAGAAAATTTTTGCTTCCAAAATCAGGTGTTTTTTTTCTAGAAATGTGATCCAGCTCCATTCTATCTGTTCGATGAAATCGACGCAGCTCTTGATGCTCAACACAGAAAGTCTGTGGCAGGTGAGTGATCTAACTTAGTTACTGTAATTCCTCTAATAGAAGCCCACCGTTTTGGGTCATTTTGAGCTCAATTATCTCAGTTTCTATAAGAGATATCAAACATATGTCAACTGATAAAATATTGGTAATATTATGTTAAACATTTTATCAGTTCACCACTTTTCGATATCTTTTACAGGCTCCGAGATAAGTTGTCTAAAAGTTAATAGTTAGGGTTGGCTTCTATCAGAACACATATAGTTAGGGGCCACAACATTTTTTTCAAACTGTTTTTCCCTAAAATCTTTTCATTTTAAATTAATCCCCTCCTCCTAGTTAGCTTATTTCCAAATTTTCTTCCAAAAATATTTATCCGTTCCCGAGTTACAGTTCATTTTGTGCTCCTCCTTTTCCGCCATTTTCGCCCCCAGCATTGCGCGCACGCGGAAAAGTGGGCGGGGCGACGACAGCGCTAGGCTGCCGCGCGGGAGAGATGAACGGGTTTTATCAAGAGATTTTCTGCTGAAATTTAGGTTTCAGACAGCTGGAAATGGAAAGAAACTTGTCAGAAAATGCGGAAAAATAGTATTATTAGTATTTTATAAAATTACCTAGCTGAATTTTACAAAATCACAGGCGAAATGACAAAAAAAAAAAGAAAAGAAACATTAAAATTTAGAATAACGCATTCATAATTCACAAAAATGGACTACGAAGTCAGCGAATAATAATAATATTTATTTGCAATGCATGGGGGAAAATCGATAGATAATTTGGCAAGAAATGGGACCTGTACAAATAAAAAAAGTAAAATGACCAGACGGACCGACTAGAGTCCTGTAGGTCAAGTGGGAGGGATCAGAATATCATAAGGAATCGCTCCTACTCGCTTAGCAAACGCCACCGGACTGAGCTTAGAATTTATCACCTTACATACACGGTTCCACATAGACAAGTTTCTGTGAAGGAAGCAGTCAAAGTATTGACCGTTGATTTTGAACAAATACGGGGCTCTGTTAGAATGGCTGGGAAGAATGTAGGACGATATAGAGGGAAAATGGTATGAGTTTATAACAATTTTGTGATAGGTACGAAGAACTAGAACTAGCGGCGATGAAGGGTGGTTAGCATAGAGAACTGGGATAGGCGATCGGTGTATGAATTGAAGGGCATATTACATCTCTGAAAGACTTTTCTGGTGAAATAACGAAGAGGAGATTCTAGTTTATTGGCAAGTGTGGAATTGGATGGATCGAAAAGTTCACAACCGTATTCGAGGACCGGTCTAATGTAGGTGTCGAAGAGACGGAAATATAGACAAGGGTTTTTCGATTGTAACGTTTTCAGTATTTGGCGGGACTTGAGTTTAGCAGAGTAGGCAATAAGATTGATGTGAAAAAGTACTTACTGTTTGAAAAAAATGTTGCGATTCCAATGTATGGTTTAAAAAATACTTTCAAAATAGTTTTTCAAAACCGGGATCGAACCCGCATATCTTCGCTTAGCACACCACTGGCTTAACCAGTACACCAAACGCACACACTAGCGGTGGGCGCATTATTTTCTTATAAAGCCGGTACGCGCGCGCTCACAGAAAAAATATTTTTACGATTAATTTAGGGAAATTTCGATACAAATGTGCATCGCAGTTTTTTCGGGCAACTTTTTGGGATTTGTCACAAATATCACTTTATGAGAATTTTTCGTAGAATCCGAATATATAAAGAAATCATGCGTTATCAATCTTTATTAATAATAAAATTGCGAAACACTGAAATTTTCTATGAGTACGCCATCTTTCGAATGGAAATAAAATACTTTCTGGTAATTCAATTTTGTTCAAAATTTGTCTATGTAATGTTCGAGAGTAGTATTACCTATAAAAACCATAAATTTCATAGGTTGTCAATAAAATTTCTTCTCAATATTTACAGCCAGTTTGGCTGTAATGTACGATTTTCGGGCAACTTTTCTGAAATTTTCGTTATTATTTCCTTTTAGAAAAAGTCTTCAGTTACTGAAAATAACAAAAAATTGTGCGTTATCGACTTTCATTACACTTTCTCAGGCATTTTTCTGCCGCCAGCTTTTGTTTTATGCCTTTTTCTCTTTTCAGGTGAATTTTTCAATAAAAACAATTACATATTCGAAATCTACGTAGTCGATTACATAAGGAAACACATTTTCATATTAATCCTTCTTTTCTAGCCAAAGTTACAGCCAATCAAACAGCCGAAACGACCCTGGGGGAAAAATATTTAGGCTCCGCCCTTTTTCTGTGGTCGCTACATATAGTATCTGATGTTTTTCAAATTTCTTTATTTTTTCAGAGATGATTCGATCTCTATCCGATCAAGCTCAATTCGTCACAACCACGTTCCGTCCTGAATTGCTTTCCACTGCCGAGAAGTTCTACGGAGTTCGTTTCCGCAACAAAGTGTCCCATATCGATGCGGTCACTCGTGATCAAGCATACGATTTCGTGGAAGATGACACTACTCATGGATAAATTCACAATTCTTTTTTACTTTGTCCACTTTCCAACCCCTGCTTTTATATCCCTGACTTCACTTATAATCTCTCCCGAATGGCGCATACTATCTGTACAATATTTTATCATCGCCACCTCATTTATCCTTAGTTTTTAAACAACCGATCTCTCCTCCTCCAACTCAATCGTTCCTGTTAAGCCCCAAAATTTCTTTTCTATCTTGATAAATTGAATATGGCGCAGAAAAATGGATTCATTCATATATTAAAGGAAGCGAGAAAGCAAATGAGTCGATCGTTTTAGGGACATATGCACTTGCGAGAAGGCGGAAAATCGTTTTTTGGGATTCCCAAATTGGGAGGGGATGTATTTTAATGTTGCAAGGGCATGAAATAGTATAGACCATGTTACAAAGTGAAAAACAAATGAGAGAGGGTTAGAAATCGCTGTAAAAAAGGAACAATCAAAAATGATACTAATTTATCCACATTTGCACTTCTTCTTTTGGTTGTTCGATCCAGACGTGTCTTTCAGAGAGACGCCACCCGAACGATGCTGATCTTTAGAGGCGGATGATGGGTTAGCGAGTTTGGCAGTTAAAACTAGGCTAGTGATGCATGTGAACATCTGGAAAATTGTAGTTACAAAGATTCAAAGAATCTGAAGACGAACCGGTTCGACATTCTTGTCTTCTTTGGCTGAAGTTTCGAAGAAGGCGATATTCATTGATTGGGCATAATTACGAGCATCGCTTTCAAGAACTACTCGACGATCAGTCTCTTCACATTTGTTGCCAACTGAATTATTTGTAAAATTCTAATTATATTAATATTTATATCTATTGTCGAATTAAAAAAAAAGTGGGACCTAAAAATTTGAAAGGCGTAGCTTTTTTGATCTAAGAAAAAGTGCGGCAAAAACGTAATATTTCAGATTTCTCCTCGTTCGAGCTACTTTCGCAATTAAGTTCGGTTTTTTGATGAAAAACAGATTCAGAGATGCTAGCGATCATTTTCATTTTTTAGAGATGCTAGCGATCATTTTCATACCAAGAAATCTAAATTTTGTCCAGAAAATCCCACTAAATTCACAGAAATAAGTTTCGTTTATTACCGTAGTGTTTTTGGGGCAAGGCCTCGAAAATTGACCGGGAAGCCACCCGCGAAATTTTCCAGATCCCACTTTTCTTTAATTCGACAATATTATCGCTGTCTCAGAAAAAGAAGGTTGAGAGCGAAATATTACTCTCGTCCGAAATCAATGCACGTTACGGCCGAAAATTTACTCAAAATCGCATCGTCGTCGCACAGCGAAAAAACAAATTGATGCATGCGCCTTTAAATACCGTACCTCGGATGTTTTTTTTATTTTGGGCCCTATTTGGCTGTTTTTTCTATTTTATAAGAAAAATAAATTAAAGATTTATAAGAATTATAAAAAATTAGACAGAAACAAGCGAAAAAATGAGAGAAATTTGAGAAAATTCGATAAATGTTGAGGTACTGTATTAAAGGCGCGTGCAATAATTTGAAAAATACAGTAAGGTTCTCTCTGTGGGAGCTAAGCTCCGCCCACCGGTGTTTTCTCGGCCGCAACGTGCATTGATTTCGGACAAGAGTAATATCTCGTTCAATTTTTCTAAAAGGCGCAAGTGCGGAAACCACCGTACTTTGAGCCTATTTTTAATATTATTTTTTTTAATATTTCCTCAATTCTTCGACGATTTATTTTCACAGTTATTTAAAAATTGATTTTCATAATTTTGATTTGTTTTTTTTCCGATTTACATTGAAAAAAAGATGAAAATCGTCGGAAAATTGAGAAAATAGGATAATAATGTTTGAAATATGCTCAAAGTACGGTGGTCTTGCACTTTTAAGAGAAATTGAACAAGATATTCCGCTTTCGACCTTCCTTTTCTGAGACAGTGATAATATAAAGATATTATTTATCTGTATCTCTCTTACCAAGAACTTTCTGAACTGAATCACAATTGTTCTCAATTTCCTGAAGCCACCGCTTCACATTTCCGAACGATTCGCCGTTTGTGACATCATAAACAACGACGACTCCATGGGTTCCGCGGTAATAGCTGTAACCTCTTGTTTCTTGTATTTCTACGAAACTTATTCATTAACACTCTTACGTCGATGTAATGGTTCTGAATCGTTCCTGTCCTGCAGTATCCCAAATCTGAAGCTTCACTCGTTGTCCGTTTATGTCCATTGTTCGGATTTTGAAGTCCACACCAATTGTGGTTATATAATTTTCTACAAAAATTGAGCCATTTTGATTTCAATATTTGAAAAAACAAATGAACCAGAAAAAGTGTTGTCTGCGAATCGTAGAAGAAGACTGCTCTTTCCGACACCAGAATCTCCAATGATTAGCAATTTGAAAAGATGATCATAATCCCGAGTGCCAGCCATGGCTGACGGATGTTCTGCAGAAATTTTTTTTTGAGAAAAAAAATCGAGTCAGCCCTGATATTTTGGCACGAAAAATCCGGAAGGTTCCACATCGACAACTACTGTAACCTAAGAATATATTCATTTTCCGGATATATTTTCTCGTTTTTCACTGATTTACGTCGAGTTTTCTGTACTTTTCCCACCAAAAATCGAGATAATAAGTCCAATATAAGCATATTTTTAGATTGCGGTAGTTGTCGTTGTGGGACCACAGCTCCAATTTTTTCATACAAGCATAATAGGTTTTCAAGTATTCATCGGGAATTTACCGATAATTTTAATATGACACAATTAGTTAGAAAACTATTTTTTATAAACGGAATTGAGTTGCATTTTAAGAGATTTCAGATTTTTGTTTAAAAAAGTAAGAAAGATAACACTGGGGGTGGACAAAAAAAAGAGCAACCTGAAACAGTTTTGTAATCCTGGGGCCAATGCTCATCATACGTTTCCGACAGCTTTCGGTAGTCGAAAAGTTTAATACGTTGAACCATTTTTCAGAAAAAGGAGGAATATTTTTCAGCTGCCGAACAATCAATGTGTAAAGAATTATAATGGAATGGAGAAGGGGCACAGCGAGAGAGAATAGAGAAATGGAGTCAGAACAAGGGGCAAAAAAGAAACAAAAAAAGAGAAATCGTTGGTTGAATCATCATCGAATTCCTCACAAATACAACTCAAAATCAATTCTGGAGACTGGATTGAAATGCCCGTTGGTCCCTTCCCGTCTGGCCACTCCTTCAGCTGAGAGGAGTCCTTTCGTTTGACGATCCATCATTTCAGTCGTAGAGAATGGTCCCTGGAAATTGATTTTTGTTGCAATTTTGAGCTAATTCAATAAGCCTGATTATCAATTAATCACAGAGCTTTGATTATGCGAAGCTTCAAGACTAATCTATAAACATCTACGAAGCGGGGTCTTCCCTTTTTCAGATCCCTATTAAATTAGAGCTATTTTCAGATACATTATTACCTCCACTTTCGCCTCCTCATTCGCCTTATACTCCCACTTGACTGTGTCTTCGTCTCCCTCCGTAACTGCAACAGCGGAGGCTGATGATGAAGTAGCTGCTGGCTCATCTGAGAACATGTCGAGCTCATCGGCAGCAGTACTAATCATTTTTTGTAGCAGAAAGTTGATTTTCTCGCGATGCCACTCGTATGCATCCATCTAAAAGAACTTTTTTCAGCAAAAAAATATATATTCATCACTCACAAATCCTGCAGAAATCAGCTCATCTGCTAGCCCTGACAGAACAGCGGTCTGTTTTTGACCATCAGTAGATTGGAACTCTTGTCCAGCTTTCTTAGCTGCCCATCTCAATTTTCTCTCCTCGGCAGGGCTCAATCCCTTTTTCTTCTTCAACGCTGATAACGCTCTCGCAATCGATTGATTTGGTTGGAGAAGCTGAACGAGCTGCTCGAAGATTTCTTTCTTTCGTGCATCGCTCATTGTAACTGGTGCCGGTTCTTCCTCCTCGTTTTCTTTCTGAAAACCAAATATAAGAAATTAGGCCTCTCTAGAACCTGTTACCTTTTCATCGCCTTCCCATTGATCGCCTGCCTTTTTCTTAACCGTACTCCAATCGATTCCATCGAGCCACGCGTCCTGAATATCCTTCTCCTTCTTATCAAAAACGAAATTTCCAGTTTCATCGAAGTGGCCGTCCTCTTCATCTTCTTTCATATTGAATGCCGTAATTTTGATAGACCCATCAAAATCCATGTCGCAATCCTCTTGTCCTTCCACTTTTCTTGTGTCTAGACGTTTATGATCCTCTTCTTCTTCTTCGTCGGATTCAAGAGTGTGAAACTTCTTCTTATCTTCTTCGCCCTGAAAATGATCCACATTGAAAATTAGCGGGAATTATATATAACGAACCTCCTCGTCTATAGCTGGTCGCTCTTTGACGACGTCTTCTTCCATCGGAATATCAAGATCCTCATTTTCGAGCTCTTTTTTGTCGCGTTTGAAGACTCGAGTTTCGATATCGTCGGCAAATGAAACGGCTCTTTTCGGCATTTTATGTCTGAAATTTTAGATAATTCATATTTCGCAAATTTTTATTATAAACAGGAATCCAATTTTTTTTTTTTTTTTAATCATCAACGAAACATGAGAAGCGAGGGGCGATTGCATATAAGAAAAGACAAGGGAAGTGATAGAGAAAAAGAGAAAACGGTCGATTTTCGGAGAACAAACAGCTTTCCCATTCTGTGCGCTTTTCCGTCGTAGTGTTTGCGGCCGATGCGCGTAAAAAAGTTCAGAATTTGCGGGAAATGTGAAAATATTGCAATTTTGAACGAATTCTTGCCCTATTTCTAAATTTCCAGAAGTAAAATGGATCCACTTGACGACCTACTAACTCAACTTGAAGGTGTGGAAGACGAGGAACTGAAACCAATAAGTCACAAAAATGTTCCAAAAACTTTTGATATTAGAGAGGAGTCTCTCAAGGAAATAGACAGAGAATCAGCTCCTGCTGAGTCGAATTCAGCTTTAACCTATGGAGAAGAGGACAGTGATAATGAAGAATTATATATAAAAAGAGAGCTTTCTGAACAAGGTGTTCATTGAAAAGATATTTGGAGAGGAACAGCTCAACAAGCGGGCCCAAAGCAACGGATGCTTGGAAAACCAATAAAGTGAGAAACCTTGTCTGAATAGGAAAAATAATAAATAATATTTTCTAGAAGTCAATGCTCACAGGGCTCACAAAACCATCAACAGAGGCAGTGACAGTTGGAATTGTGCGATTTGATAAATTTCAAATTTCGATTCGTAATCCGAAAGTCAGTTCTACAAGTTTTGGAGCGTTCACAGCTGGAATGAAGCTGGAAAAACTATCCGATCTAAAACCAACGTCTAACTTCAAAGAAGCCTGGTGTACGTTGGGAGTTATTGTAGAGAAGGGATTCAAGAAAAAGAGTGCGAACGGAAACGATTTTTTGATTTGGAAATTACATGATTTGAAGGTTAGTATCTGCTATATTGCTATATAGATGCTATATTCATTCAGGACTGCCAAACTCAACCTGTGAAACTTCTGATGTTCGGAGATGCCATCAAGGAGCATTGGGAAATTAAAGTAATGTTTGATGCATGCTTCATAATAGGTTACCATTGTTGTTCAGCTTGGATCTGTCATTGGTCTGATTTCTGCTCAGATTGCGGATGATTCGACAGCATCTGGCACAAAAAGTGAGAAAACAGAAGATATTCTGTAATTATTCGAATTTTAGAGAATGTTTCTGCCACATTGAAAGTAGCAAAATCGAGCAATATCATTGAAATCGGACAATCTGCTCATTATGGGACTTGCAAGGTAACAGGACCCCAAGAGAAACGACTAAAAATATAATTTTCCAGGGAACTCGCCAACAGGACGGACAACGATGCAGTAATTATGTGAATACATCGTTGAGCGAATTCTGTGTATTCCACGTGATGAGTGCGGCAAGGAAACTATCCGCCAAACGAGGTCAGTGATGATGTATGAGTCAGATGCTGCTCAATTTTATTTGCTTTGACACACACAGCAGAGCTTTTTGTGTCAATTGAGTAAATACGGAAAAAAATGGATGAGACGATGACTTTGAAACGAATTTGGAAATCAAAAATTCAATAGTTTTCAGGAGTTTTCAATGCAGTAACTGGTGGTCCCAACGTCGGTGGCCTTTCATTCAATAAGAAACCAACGGCTTCAAAATCTCAAACGCCAATTCGAAATGGATTAATCTCATCTGGACTTTCCAGGTAATTCAACTAATTTCAAATTTTTGAAAAATTTAGTTATTCTAACCCATTTTTCAAGTTCCAGTGGATCTCCAATGCTTCGTGATACGATGCGTCCAGCTAACACTAACACACTGACCACGCCCACTACAGTATTGAAGCAAATTACCAAGGAAGAGGAGAAGTCGTCGTTTAACGATATGTTAAACCAAAGAGTCTATTGAAAATTGAAAACAAATTTCAAGATGATAATTGCAGAAAAATACATTTGCTGCTCGTCAAATTCTGGCACTGAAAGTGAAAAAAGAAGGAGGAAGAGGCTCTGAAGGAATGGATGATATGATAGACTTTTTGGCGAGCAATGCTTCGGATGAGAAACCGAAACATTCGAGTTTTGGAGAATTTCTCAAAGCGGACACTGAAAACGAAAAAGCCAAAGTTGTCGATTTACGATCTTCAAGTTCCACGTCATCGCCAGGCGGATCAAAACTATGGACAATGTCTCTTGCAGCAAAAAAGAATGGACCAGTTGGACATAAAGATGCACAGGAACATGCTGCAAGGGTTCGTTCACATGCTACAGTACCGATCAATACAAAAACACCTAATTTTAAGTTGATTTTCGGCAATTTTGACCGTTTTCAGAAGTCACGATCTCGGTTGTCAAGTTTCCGACCACTTTGAAAACTTTGGAAATTATGAAACATGCCTAGATCGAAAATTTTGCATTTTTGGCCAATTTTTTTACTGAAACAGGGAAAAAGTGGGTGTCTTTCAGAAATCGGCAAATATCTGAAAAACTAAAGATTTTCGAAAAATTCTGAACGCAAAGTTTTCACTCTAGGTCTGTTTTGAATCCTCCAAATTTTCAAAGTAACCGGAAACTTGACAGCCGAGTTCCAGAGTCCTGAAAACTGTCAAAATCAATTGAGAACCGCGTTTTTCGTATATTTTTGGCCAGCACTGTATCTAGAAGACAATACCTTTTTCAGCTTCGCGCAATTGCTATTCTAAAAGCGAAACGAAAGGAAGAGGAAGAGCTAAAAGCTAGTGGTGGTGTCAAACGGAAAGCAGTTGGAACACCGGACAGATCACAACCAGATGCCAAAAAATCGAAAAGTGCCAGTCAGAAAATGGAAGAAATCAAAGCATTGTTGGCAAGGAAAAGTAGTCACCATCAAGAAGCTGAGAAGGTTTTTTTTGCGAGTTTTTTTCTCGAAAATTCAATGATTTTCAGGCCGAACATGACAAGCTTCAACGCCATCTAACAGGAATGGAAGAGCGAGAAAAAGTGGAAACATTCACATCGACCTGTATGGAAGTCAAGAATGTGAAAGTTGTTACTTGCAATGAGGTAAAACAACAACAACAAAAGGATAAATCCATCATTACAACCCTATATTCCAGTGCAAGTACACATCCCAATTCGCATCTTCTGATTGCATCAAAAAAGAGCACAAACTGATTCGGCACACCGCCGATAAACGTTTCTTCAAATGCGCTGGATGCAAGAAACGAACGGTTTGCTTCGAAATGATGCCTGTCAAACATTGTCCGGTAAGATTGAAAAATCGCTTTAGAGACTGAAAAAATGGATTCCAGCACTGCAATGAAAACAAATGGGAACGAGTGGCGATGAAAGACGAGCGAAAAGTCGTTTTGGAAAGGGAGAACCTTCTGGTTCGCGGCGAAGAACGTCCATTCGTCAGCTCATAATCTATTTCCCAGGATTTTGTCAATTTCTGTTAAAGAACAAGTAAATTTTTTTGAAAAAACCTTAATTAAGACCATTTAAACACCAAATAGCGCTCAGAAAATTGAACATCGGGGAGAGAAAATATCTAACCAAGAACATGAGAAGAGAAAACAAAGATAGCGATTAGATAGTTGGGGAAAAACAGAAGAAGGAAAATCAATGAAAGAAAAACTCCGAGCAGTACTGGGGAAGGCTTGTAGATCTTTGTGGCGATGTTTAAACCCTGAAAAAATTCACTAGAAAATCGCAATTAGTGAGGTAACCTACTTTTTGATGACCTGAACGACGTCTTCATCAATGAGAACATGATCTCGTCCGACGCGTTGTGGGTTGTGCTTGGCAGAAGCTCCCCAAACGAGGGCACTGAAAAAGGGTATCATTTTGAATTGGTACTAATTTCAAGGAAGATATCAGAGATGTATAGAATGACTGTTTTCGAAAATCCGGTTTCCAGAATTCGGACAACTTTGGAAAACACACCTACCACTTGAAATCCTTCTGAAGAGACTTGTGAATTTTCATACACAAATCTTCGATACTCTTTCGTTCAGCGTTCAATACAATCGGTTGGGAGTAGTCGGGAAGCTGACCTTTTGGTTTTGTGTAGCTGGAAAAGATATTTTGAGGTTCAGCAGAAGAGGAAAAACAAAACTTACATACGAATCAAGTTGAGGTATTCCCAAACCTTTTCCAGCAAGTCATCGAAATTCCATTTGTGGTGAGCGGAAATTGGAACGGTATGAGGGATACGGTAGATGATGTCGAGTTCTTCGATGGAGATCTGATCAATCTTATTGAGCACGTAGATGCATGGAATGTAGACTCTGTTTCCTTCGATTACATCGATGAGATCTTCAGATGTAGCATCGTAACGAAGAGTGACGTCAGCATTGTGAATACGGTACTCGGCGAGAATGCTTTTGACAAGATCCAAATCGAGTTCGGTTTGTGGTACGAGCATTGTCAGATTGATTCCTCCTTTCTCTTTTCGTTTGAATCCAATGTTTGGAGGTTGCTTGTTGAGACGAATTCCGAATCCTTCCAACTCATATTCGAGAAGTTTCTTGTGCTGCAATGGCTTCATCACATCGAGGACCATCAGAATCAGAGAGCAGGTGCGAGCAACAGCAATAACTTGCTTTCCGCGTCCTTTTCCGTCCTTGGCTCCCTCGATAATTCCGGGAAGATCGAGAAGCTGGATTTTCGCTCCCTAAAAAATCAACAACTATGAACATAAACCAGTGAAAAGAATTCAACCTTGTAACGAATAACACCGGGGACTGTAGTGAGGGTCGTGAATTCATAAGCGGCCACTTCTGAGAAGACTCCTGCCAGGTTACAGAGAAGGGTAGATTTTCCGACGGACGGGAAGCCTGAAAACAGTTAATTTGAAAACCAAAATTCCCCTGAAATTACATCTCGCCCTCCACGAATGCTCTTTTCTATTTATTATTTTCTCTTTTGTGTGTGCCATAAAGTCATCAATTTTATATGTGGAATTTTGTGAGAGCAATCTCTTCGACCCGTTTTGTTGTAAGAAAAAAACATAAAATAAAACCAAATTGCTGCTGCTTCCTCCGTTTTCCTTCATTTTTATTCGTTTTTCGAATTGAAATATCTTTTTGGTTTCCTAGACCTCCTCAATGAGTTTTCATCCCCTATCATCATATTTACTCATCAAAAAGTAAACGGTGACAGGTTTGCTCATCACTATATGCCTTCCCGGAAATGAAGAAGGCAACGACGACGAAAATAAACAAATTTAGACGCCTCGAAAAGTAGAGAAAAATGCGGGGAAGAACAGAACGGAAATTTGATGTCAATTTGCATGAAAAACGAGATTTCCTATCCTGGCTCATTTCCGTTGTCAACCTTATCCCCACATTTTTGATCACAATTCGTTTTTTTTGTTATTTTTAATACTTGAAAACGGACCAAAACGGATTCTGTGATAGTTACTCCTGGACCAACTAAATCAGATATGACAAACAGAACTTAACGAGTACTACAGAATGATACTATCTGGAAAACTGTATCTCGTCTATGAACAAAGTTATGAGCCAAAACCCACCTGAGCTACGCGGTCACAGCTTTAGCTCATAACTTTTTGTTGATAGACAAGATAAAATTTTCCACATAGCATCATTTTGTAGTACTCGTCGAGTTCTATCATTTCTGATTTGGTTGGTCCAAAAATTTTAAGTTTGAAAGAAACTATGGCGGGGGCCGTTTCCATGTTTTTTTTGCTTCAGTTTTTTGGAGCTAAAATGCATTGAATCGAAATCTGATTAGGTTCTGATTAGGTTCTAATCAGTAATTCGTTCGAGACACCTTCTTATTCATAAAGAAGATGTGGACTGCTATGGAAACTCTTGCTCTTTTCTATCGGAATTCGTCATTTCCTTCTTTTTTCTTCTTCTTCTTTTTGCGGGACTCTCGATTTCCGCGAACATCCCCATCATATTTCCGTTGACGAATGAGTGGCGGCGTTTGAGAAAAAAGTGTTTGAGACGGCACACAATCTTTTCGTTCTTTCCCATAAATTTCTAGGGATTTTCGAAAAAGTTAGACCCCGTTGGGGTAAAAAAAATTTCTCATCCTTGTTTTTTTCTTCAATGGCGAACTAAATCGGTGATTAAAAAGCCAAAATCTTCTTATTCTTCGTTCTAGACCCGATCTCAGACATATTACAAGACAGGGAAGGAAGCATCACATTTTGGCACATCGAATACGATGCTCGATTCGTTTCGAACGAATCAAAGACAAGAAGAAGTACATGTCTAGACGCATTCAAAACACACATTTGAAATATTGGCTTTTATTTCTTGTTTCCATATTATTCCTGATCTATCATCTTGGTTGACCGTGGATTAGATGACTGCTCTCCTTTTCTTCTCTTCTTTTTCTGGGGGATGTCTATTCTTTTTCGCCGCTTTTGCCTTCACCCCAGCAGCAATAACTGTGCCATTCTTTCCTCGTTTTGTCTCCAAGTAGCTATCCGACATGTTTTCAATGCAAAACGATTAAACTAGGTTGCTTTTTTCAAGGTTTTCCATTGGCTCTATTTGGTTATGACAATGAGATTACGTTTTAATCACTATCGCTACCAGGAATCGAATCATTTTTTAAATTAGTTTAGCAAATAAAATACGATGCTGGTATGCAAAAATCGGAGAAGTGGAAGAGAAAATCTGGTGGGCGTGGCCGAGCTACTGTAGCTAGCAATTTTTTCTCGATTTTTGTCCGTTTTCTGGCGTGTTTTAGATTCAGAATAAATTGATTTTCTGACCGACTTATTCGGAGGTTTTCAACACAAAACTTGTCGAAAAGCAATTGCAATCAAGAAAAAACCCGATTATTTGTTCAGGTTACTGTAGTTGTGGAGCCTTCGACCACGCCTACAAGCTAGTAAGCTCTTCCAACCCTCCGATTTTTTCATACAAGCATAAAACATTTCTAATTTTTAAAATCATCTATCGTCCAAATGTGTCTACTGTAACTTGATATATCTTTTCGAAAAGTAGGAAAGGTTTTAGTTTACAAATACTTTGGAAAATCCGGAAAGAAATATTTCAAAAAAACATGTAAATTGTGGTGCAATAAAGCCTTCAAAATGATATCCAAATCACTAGGTTTTGTTGTCATCTCCCCTATTGTTTTCCTTTCATTCAAACAAACACGCCATCATCATCGTGCTGCAGGAATCTTTTTTCCAAAAACGAGTAGAGAGTTGGGCTCAACGGCTCACACACTTTTTGCCGTCGCCCTTCGCCTCGTCTTCTTCTTCTTTTTCTGCTTCGAAAAAAGAAGACGTGAGTCGTTTTTCTTTTTTTTTCGCAGAGTTTCAGAGAAATAGAGTCTCTCTTTCTTCTTCTTCTGGATCCCCGTCGTCGTCAACCCGCCTATGTCCTTTTCCCTCTGCGTCTTTCTCTAGAGAATCGTGAAGCCATGTATCCCTACTCCCAGTGGGGGCCTTTGCTCAGGCAGAAAAAAAGAAGCTTGTGCTCGTTTTCTCGAATTCTCTATCTTTTTTTTCTCCTTCTCTCTATACTTATACTCGGCCACCCCCACCCTCGGAAGCTCAGAGAAGGCGAAAGGAGCTGCTCCTAAATACACACGAAAAGTTCTGAAAACAGTGTCTGTGACCGAGTTTTCTTAATCATCATCGTCCACATGGCATCTCATCTGGTACCTTGATATTCTTCTTCCTCTTCTTTGTATTCCTATCGTACCCCCTCCAAATATGATATCCAGGAAAAAGTTTGGAGAGTATGCTGCCGACGGAGGTCGTCACCCCAACATCATAAATATGGTTATATCGTTGTTCCTCCTTCTGGCACAGCTAGATCCACTCACTGCCTCTTCAGTAAGGTAGGAAATTAAAAGAGTACCGTATTTTCTATAATAGAAACCCACCCGAACTGTTATTTTTGACCTCAATTATCTCAATTTCTGTGAAAGATATCGGACATTTTTCAACTGATAAAATATTGCTGCTATTATGATAAAAATTTTATCAGTTGACATATTTTTGATATCTCGCATAGGAACCGAGATAACTGAGCTCAAAGTCGACACTTTGGGTGGGTTTCTATTGCGGTAATCAAAAACTACAGTAAGATATTTCTCTCGGATTATCAAATTTATTATATTTTGAGTAGAGGAGCCAGTCAAAACATTTTTTCTGGAAACGTGCAAAAAATCCCGAGATGTGAAAAAAGGACTGCACTGTATTGATTCGAGCTTTATCAGACAGCTATATCAAATTTCAAAATTTCAGACGATCTCTCCACACCTACCACCCAAATTTGGACTCCGAACCATATGGAATAATTCCTCCAATCTATCCATATGACCCCCATCCTCTCTCCACACCGGAATCAGTCGTCTTATCACCTCGTCCAATTCTGTGCAACAATCAGACCGAATACGAATGTGTCTGTATGAAACCCTACTCATCACCGCATTCACCCGATAAGATTGCCCCGTCGGCTCCCGATTGCAGTGTATTCATCAAGGTATTTTTTGTTCTCCTCCTGGGGAAGAAAACTTGAGCACAGACCAGACAGCACGACGTAGTAGTGATGATGATGATGGGAGACAGAACAGTTGTTCCTATTATTTTTTACCCCACCGGATGGTGGTGGTCTGAGAGGGGGCCTTTAGGTATCATCGGAAAAAGGAGAAACCCCGTTTTTTGCCAAAAAAGAAAGAAAAGCGGTGGCGGTGGAATTTCGGAAAGAAGACTATTCTCTGGGGACACCCAAAAACTTATCATTTTTCGGGTTTTCAAAAGGGAGAACTACTGACAAAGAGAAGAGATCGAGGTGTAGAGACACGGACTGAGAGAAATATAGAGGGATCCTAAGTCTGAGATTGTAATGTTTTCTTTCAAAGATTCCGTGTTTTTCTAGAGATATTAAATCATTCGGAAGGGGAATTCAAGACAAGTGGTTGTTATCGGATTTTGGATCCAAACCCTAAGGCCAATCGTAAAAACTGTAATAGAAGGGCCCCCAAATAGTAAACTTTGAGCTCAATTATCTCGATACCTGTAAAAGATATGAAAAAATAGTGAACTGATAAAATGCTTATCATAATATCATAAACATTTTATCTGTTGAAACGATTTTTATATCTCTTACATGAGCTAAGATAAGTGAGCTCAAACTTGACAGATTGGGGGCCCTTCTATTACGTGTTTCACGGTAATTATGCTCAAGCCATCGAATTGAATACACTGGAAACGATATTCGATTTTTGAAAGAATTTTTTTCCCGAAGATTAATACCTATGTTATTAAATATCAGCTCCTCTCATTCAAGATCATTAAGATCATGTTGTCTTATCCCAGAAGACGTTAAGATCAGAACACAGGATCAGAATCTACAAAAACTTCTCGATCAAAATTCGTTTTCGTTTTTTGCCCTTTTCTTCCGCTTTTTTATTCTTTCACTTCATCATCATTGAAAAGTTTGGGGCGAGCCCCAAACAAAAAATTCAAAAGGAGACCTCTTCTTTTTTGTTGGTTGGAGCCATTGAAAAAAGAAGAAGAAGAAGACGGAAGAAGGCGTCAGCTTCAACACATGGTGCAATGGTGAAGCTGTGAAAAAAGATCGAGGGAAGGGGCCAAAAACGACTGAAGCTGTCTTCTTCTCTCTATTCACACACATGCCCATACATACACACAAAAACGTCCGACGATGACAACTTTGCAACGACCGAAAAAAAAAACAACAGAGCGCATTGACGACTACAACGAGGGGAAACTGGCGATTTGCGAAAAAAAAAAATGAAGAACCGAACGAACAGAAAAACAAAAACTCGAATTGAGAAAAATGGGAGAGAGCTAATAAAATGAAACGGATTCGAGATTTTTTGAAAATTCTCTGGGAATCCCCCAGTCCCTCCAAGAAGATATATACCGTAAATCTTATAATAGAAGGGCCTCCACACTGTCAAGTTTGAGCTTAACTATCTGAATTCCTATGAAAGATATCAAAAATGTGTCAACTGACAAAATATTTCTGATATTATGATAAGCAATTCATTAGTTGACAACTATTTGTATTATCTTTGTCAGAAACCGAGATAAAATGCTTCCAATTTAAACGTTAGGGAGCCCTTCTATGATAGGTTTTACGGTAGGTACTTGTCCGCGTTCTAATGGCGATTTTATCTTAAATCAGATTTGAAAATTATATTCATCGATGATTCTAGAGATCAATAGTGCTATCGGTTATTCATTTCCATTCCCATAGACGGAAACAATTCTGAAGAACAGATGGTGAGAAACCCGAGTCGAGTATCGAAGCATTGGGTTTCACTTTTTTTTCAGGGTGATGATAGGGTCACAAGGCGAAAAGTGAAACGAAAGAAGACGACGAGGGAAAAAAAACAATAAAAACACCTAATGTTTCAGACCGATGATCTTCCAGTTGTTGATATGAGGATGAGACAGGTTAACACAGAAGCGAAACTCTACACAGGAGATAGCTATGAGGTTGGATAGTTCGGGATTTTAATGTGGATTCTCAATTCAAAATTATTTCAGGAGTACTTCAAGAGACGGATATCAACGATAGTGTCCCATTACTGTCAGCATAACACCAACGAATGTCCCGGTGTGTCTTTGCGGATGAGTCATGTGAGTCAGGTACTTGCACGTTTTTCTTTCTTTCCGTCTATCCGAATGTAGCAGCAAACTTATTTAAAAAAAAACTATCTGATTGTATATATCCACGATTTTCAAAGACCTATAGTAGAATGTTGTGCCTCAGCTTCTTTTTAAAATGAAATTGGAATACATTTGTAAATATTTTGGCTGAAAACAAAATGCTGAAAGCTGCACGATTTTCTGAATCAGAATTCCTGATTATATATGATACCTATATATGTTATATCTATTTAATCCTCACCGTCCCGTACTCGTCGTCGTGCTCACCCCATATTCCAAACGGAACGCACTTTCCAAAAACTCCTCGGTTGTGATTTCTTTTCTGATTATATTTTGTTCCGCATCAAGAATACCATTTTTTGAAGGAAATGCTCCAAAACTTGAGCGATCGAGAGGCTGACGAACTAGATATAGACAAATCGGTTGTGTACGCCGAGCGTGACGAATCGGAACCACTTTTTACCAAGGTGCTTATCTGAACCACGAAAAATAGGGGTTGATGACACTTTTCCCGCTACATTTCGCTTCACTCCTACTAGGAATCCTTAGAAATCCTCAGAATGCTTTTCCAGTTAAAAAACGTTTCAGGAGAATGTAGTAATTCTGAGAATGGATCATTTGCGGGGAAATCTCACAAGACTACTTTTCGTTCTCACCAAGAATGATAGGAACAACGGAATCATCAATGAGGATACCATCATCGATCCTGTGAAGGTGAGAAAAACGAATTTCCACTAAACCCAATTTGAAAAAAAGTTTACAGATCAAATACATCATCGCTAGTCAAGTTGGTCCGTTATCGCGAGTTCTTGGTGGCATCAAAATTGACAGCGTTCGCCAGGCAAAGCTAAAACGAAATTCAGGAGCTTTCGGGCCCCTGAGCTTCAGTACGCCAGAGCAACGGCAAGACAACCGGAAGAGCAACACAAAATTAATCATGATCGTCTGCTGTGTAGCAGCATTTTTTATGATCACTTACTGCATTGCCATTTATCAGTGTATCAGATGGATCCTACGGAAAAGGAAGGCGAAGAAGGAGGCTAAGCTAGCAGAGCAGAGTCTCGTAGCAGTGGATGCAAAGAACTATGGAACCTGTGAAATCAAACAGAGAAAGCCATCTAGAAACGGACATATGGTTCATACAGAAGAAAGAACACCGCTAACCTATGAACAAATTGACGAAATCCCTGACGTGAGCGGTTCAAAAAAATTCTCGGTGCTTGATAACTATTTTTCAGGACAATTCCCAGTCTCTATCCCAGAGACAAATGAGGAATTGGTTCAAATGTGATGCTTCTCAACTTCCGAGAGAGCCAACTTATCCAACAAGTTTGGTTGACTCGTATCAAAATCAGCCTGCGGTTGCAACAACGACGCCCAAACCAACTGACGAATTTAAAATAAAAGAGGAATCTCCGGTAAGAATCCCCGACAACGACTTTTGATCAAATTAAAGCAAATGAGTTTTCAGATTCTCACGAAACGAAAAGAAGAAAAAGAGCCAAGTAAGCCTGTATCACCTATGTTGTCTTCACAAGCAACGACAAGTTCAGAAGCAATTTTCCCGCCATCTAAAGACTTTTCGGATTATGTTGATGATCAATACCATAAGAGTAGAGCTTCTTCAAATAGTCCAACAGAGGATTTACCAAAGTCTCCAAACGAAGATCCTTGGGAAGAGATGGCTGGAAAATATGTGCCACCGGTTGTACTTCTCCAGTCTGATACACCAGATTTGCCTTTAACAATGCAAAATCATCTGGAAAAACATAATCCCAATGAGGAATCAGCTCTCAAAGGATTGAGAAGTGGAGACAGTCCAGTTTTTGCTCGTCCCAGGTCGAGAAGAGGTAGTCGTATAGATGAAGTGGAAGGGCAGTTGGATTTACCAGAATTAAAACCACTTCGGTAGGTTATCAACTGGTGGTTCTAGATTTAACTTTTAAAATTCACAGAACTGACGATCCATTGGCCGAGCCTCTGGATGCACCTGTCCCAATTGATAGCATAAAAGGGTCAGTCGATGAGGAAGATCGGTGGTCATCAAGTGAAGAAGGAGAAGTCGACGTCTACTATAAAATGAGCGATGATGAAGACGTTACCAGAGAAGAGTTGGATTGGAAGAAGGCTATGGCGAAAGCAGAACTTGAGAAAGAAGCAGAGTCTCAAGGAAGAACACTTCCAGGATCAGAAAATCACGTAGACTCTGTAAACAAACGAACGGAAACCCCGCCTTCGTCGCCAATTCAAATTCACATTCAAAATCATCTCAATCATAACAATGACTCGGATTCAGAAGGTAAGAAATTTCTAATAAATTGAAATGACCCTCCTCTTCTACCCAAACTTCTAACTGTGCTCGCGTTTGCTTTTCTCATTTTCCAAAAATTCAGAAGAAGACGTGCCGATACCAGAAGAAGCCAAAGATGCCGACATTGCAGAGAAGGATGATGATTTTGTCTACGAACGTCTTCGCGAAGAACTTTCTCCTCAACCGCCAATAGTAGTTGATTTAGACACAACAGACTTAGACTTGGTACCCATAAAGGTAACAGTTTGAATTTTTTAAATCACTAACTTTCCGATTGATAACATTAACAACTTTTGTTTCGAATGAAGAGCTTTCTGATGTTTTAATTCATGTAACTTTCAGTCACTACCACCACCTCCACCAGGAATGTTTCCTGATTCTCCACCAGAATCAGGTTCCGGTTCCAATCAAATGAACCACCAACGGAGTCAGGAAATGAGTGAAGAAGATGATGAAGACGATCTTCGATAACAAATTTCTCCTCGATTTCTTCTTCGATATATGTATTTTTGACAGTTTAATTGCTCAACCCATTCTTTCAAATGTCTACTATTTATTTCAAGTTCAAACAAGCCCCCCTTTCTCTCTCCTAATCTCTTTATTTTTCTCTCCCGGTGTATAAATCGTAGACTCTGGCTGTAGTAGTTTTTAGATGATGTTCTAATTTCTTGTTTACTTGACTCAAAAACCAACTCTTTCCCCGCGTGCCTCTGAGACTTTTTGTGAATTCTTTCGAATCTCTTTTTAATGAAAATTTCTATCAAAATCTGAATGCAACTTACCGACGAATCCAATACGGGCATCTCCAGTTTTAGCAACATCGAAACCTTCTCCTGGTCCACCACCTCCACCTTTTGGTGTAATCAAATCACGACGAAGTTTGGCGAGTTTTGCCTGGAAAACTCAATAAGTACAATTTTTTAAAAACTATATACCGTAAAACCTGTATTAGAAGGACCGGCACTTCTATTTTTCCAAGGTACCTCCAGAGATCCCTTCCATCACAGGAGCCCCTTCTATTTTTCCGGCCACTTTTCCCGAAATTTTTTATCGAAAAATTGGACAAATTTCCGTTCAAAATTTGTGAAAATCTGTCAATTTCACCAAAATTGTGCAAGTATTCAAATCAAAATGTATTCTATCAACAAATTTCTATTAAATTGTGGAGTTCCGGGAATATTTTCCACTGAAAAAGTACGGAATTTTCTGATTTCAAAACACATTTTGAAGGGGGTTCTTTTTCACAGAGGGGCGTTCTATTACGGGGGCCCTTCTATTACAGGGGCACTTCTATTAAAGGGGCCCTTCTAATACAGGTTTTACGGTATGAAAAATGAAGTTAAGGCTTAATAGGTTGTGGAATACCGTAACCCAACTTCCAGCTTCTGATTTGAAATTTCAAAAGTGATTCGAAATTTCAGTGTAACATGATTAATTCGAAGTTTAATAAACATAAGTTGCTATTCAAAGTGTTTATCAGAATCTGATTTTTTTGTGACATCGTTTTTGAAAATCAAAATTCGAGTTCTCACCTTCAAAATACCCAAGTGAGCGTTGGTGGCTTTGTTCTTTTGGGTCCTGGCCATCTGAAAAAAATATTTCATTGAGATTTACATTCAAAAGAAATATAATTCTCACCTCGGCCTCGATATCCGCAATTTTTTGAAGAACCGACATGGTTAACCGTTCTTCTGAGGTGCAGCACTTCCTTTTAGCCTGAAACTCGGAAAATATGTTGTGAGAGCAAAGATTAGTAAATTAGAGAGAAATAGGAAATTAACAGATGGAAAAAGAACGGAAAACTAAGAAATTAGGAGCTGAATTAGTGAAAACTCCAATTTTTGCATTTTCGGTGTCTGCAAACACTCTCCAAAGTTTGTTGCGTACTTTGCACTGAATCGTACGACAGCTTCTTATTTTTTTCTTTCAATTATTCAACTGTCAAATAATGGACATTTCGAAGCTTACCGATGTTAAAAAAGTAGATTTATGCAAAAAGTAAGTAATTTGTTGACTAGTTAATAAAAAAACTTAATTTTCTACAGATATTTTCTAATTGGAGCATGTTTCTTGCCGCTTATATGGGTTGTCAACTCATTTTGGTTTTTCTCTGATGCTTTCTGTAAACCGGTCAACAATCATCGGCGCCAAATTCGAAAATATGTGATTGGTAGCATTATCGGATCGATATTCTGGATTATTGTCCTCTGTTCTTGGGAGATCTTCTTTCAAGTGAGTTTTCAAAAAAGAAAAACGAAAGGCAATATCAAAAATCCATAGTTTTTCGTTGTCTCTGAGTGTTTTTCAACCCAAAAAAAAAAACAATTCAATAATTGTTTTCTTTTTTCAGTACTATCGCTCTCAAGGACTCGTCTGGACCGACTTCCTCACTTTCGTGTTTCCCACTGGAAGAGTCTGAAAAACCACTCATATATTTTCCCTATTCACATGTAACTTCAGGTTTCCATGTCTTTTTCGAACCACAAACTATTTGATCTCTGTGTCAATTTGCCAAAGTTTATGAAAATTTTGTCCAATTTGTTTATTCATGTCCAATTTATATAAATATGTCCAAAGGGAGGAGAAAACTCAAGTCAGCAAGGTGTGACATCACAGTTTAGAGGGAGAAAAAATTAGGAGCTAATCCGGGGAGACTAAAACAAAAAAATTATGATTGTGGGTAATTCGATTAGAAATTAATTCTTGAGAGAGTCCTCATCCTCATCATCCTTGGTGTTGATGCTCACTGCCGACAAATTGGATTCATCAATTATCTCCTGATCATAGTCCTTTGGTTGACATTTCTGAAGATCCACACGAACAAGATCCATCTGAAAATTTGAAATTTCCCTTTGACACAAATTAAATTCAATAATACCTGTTGCTCCGGCACCGACCATGGTTTCCATGTTGGATGGTGTTTCTCCTTCCACTCTGTGTATCCAAGACACGCCTTGTGCAACTTCTTGATCACTTTTGGAGCCACCACTTTCGTAACTCTGTTCACCAGCCAAGTCGGAAGTTTTCCCTTTGGATCCGAGTGACTGATATAGGTCACCTCGCATCCTTCTCCTTTCTCTTTGATAAGATATCCAGCTAAGAGTATTGTTGCTCGAATACATCCTTTAGCTGGTGGATAGTCCTCGTGACACACAGAATGCGAGCAGATGAGACGATCCTTGTCGGTTTCCAACCAACTGCGTTGCATCACGAAGTCGCGTGGACGAATTGGAGACACTGAGCTCACTGAAAGGGTTTTGGATGATAAAGAAAACAACCAACGGAAGGTGGCTTACAAGAATAGTAACAAACGTCGTTATTCGGGTTGATGATTCCAATGCTCTCTTGTTTGATCATATATTTGTCCCATTTAACACGATAAGCTGTAATATTGACAAATAAAAAAAACTAGAACCTGAAAATCGTTTTTAACTTTTTCTAGGTCATGACCCAATTTATTCTAGGCCATGACCTAATTTTTTTAGGTCATGACCTAACTTTTTCTAGGTCATGACCCAATTTTTCCTAGGTCATGACCTAATTTTTTCTAGGTCATTACCCAATTTTTCTAGGTCATGACCTAATTTTTACTAGGTTCGACACGACATCGAAAAAATTTCTCGAAAAATTTCTCGAAGTCGTGTCGAAAGGACACACTGGAAGCTAGCGGTCATATTCTTACCAAGCAATCTGAATGAAAATCTCATTAAATTCACAGTAATTGATTTCGTTCCATACAGTATAGGATTTTGGGACATGGTGTTATGGGAAAAAGGAAATTGAAAACCAAGATTGTGCAAACCACTAGGTCCGCTAGGCCGACCTATCCTACAGTACACTACCCAAAATGGCGGCCGTAGCCCAGCATTGTTGAACTAACCAGAATCATGGAGAACATCATAAGCAACAGAAGCCGAGACATCTGGGAACAAAGCGATTGCCTTGATCATCTGATAGCTACTGTTTTCAATATTTTGAGTGTAAATGCTGATGTCTTTCTTCTTGTACACCTGAAAAAAATTGAATTCTTCAGTTTTCAGATTTTCTGGATACTGCACCTCTTCCCATCCATCATTCTCTTCACACAGACTTCGAACTTTCTGATAATCCGCATCCTCCCATACTCTTGCCACGTTAACCCGCATGCCTGACTACAGTAGTCCAACCGCTGATCCGAGCTGACTCTTGTGAGTCTTGCACTATTACCTAAATTTAATGCATACATTTAGAGTTTGAATGAGGATAGAAAAAGGAAAAAAATGGAAGGATCGGGTGGGGTGGGGACACACAAATATATCAAAATGAAGAAAGTGTAAAAAACAGAGAGACGAAGAGATGAACCCTCCCGTATAAGCACAGCTGTGGCGCACTCACAGAGAGCGAGAGCTTTGAAAAAATCTCCGTTTCTTTGTTTCAGAAAAATGGAGATTCTGATGAATGACAGACGGGATGTTTGAAACAAGTTTGAAATAAGGAGAAAAGGGGTGGTGATTAACGAGTTTAAAGGTTTGAAGAAGACTTCATAAGGAATCGACATCAACAACGATGCTCATCGAGTTTCCTCAACTTTTAACTAAATTATCTTAAAGATCTAAAAAATTGTGAACTCATAAATTGTTAATCATAATATCATCAATGTTTTATCAGCTGACAAAAATTTTATATCATTCACAGGAACTGAGATAATTGAGCTCAAAGTTGACGGTTTGGGGGGCGTTCTATTTATGTGGGGTAGGGTTGTTGTCAACTTTGAGCTCAATTACCTCGATTCTTGGAAAAATATATAAAAACTGTCAACATATAAAATGCTAATCATATTATCACCAACCTTTAATCAGTTGACAAAATGTTGATATCTTTCACAGGAACTGAGATAATTGAGCCTAAAGTTGACAAACTTGGTAACTTCTCAAGAACACTCTTGGAACATTGGAAATGCGGGGTAGTTCGGAGAAGCGGAAAGAAGAAATACGGGGAAAAAGGGCGGATCATAAATTTTTAAGCATCGAATTGGCAAGAAAAACGAACAACGGAGAAGCGGGGGCGATTTTGCGGGGAAAAGAGAGAAACGTTCGAGATTCGGAAGACAGTGTGACGTTGAATACAACATTGACAATTTAAGATTTTTCTTTTGAAGAGGAGATCTATTTTCCAAATTTGTATGCCGGACCCTACCATAGCTTGTTTTGGAATCAATATTTCTGGACCAACCGAACTAGATATTATAGAACTCGGATCAGCCACTTAATGTCTTATAACTTTGCTCATAGACAAGGTACCGTTATGGAAATACTAGCATTTTGTAGTACTCGTCGAGTTCTATCATATCTATATTAGTTGGTCTAAAAATAATGATTCTAAAAGAAGTTACGGCAGAACCCGGTTAACAAGTAAACAACGACTGTTTTATTTCTCACTAACAATAAGACAGCTAAAATATTAAAGTCAGAATTCTGAAACCTTCTGACATCATCAGTCTTCCCCTGAGTATTCAGAAAAGCAGGAAATGACGCCAAAATAGATGTTTAAGCAAAAAAGAAAAAAGAGTAACATTCCGCGGAACGAGCGAAGACATCAAAAATTACACCGAGGCGGATTCTGGAGAGAAAAGTCTAATGAGATTGGTCGACTATTTTACATAAACTCTGGGAAATTCATTCGATCAGAGGTCAACTCTTGATTTATAAGGAGAGTGTCTGAAACTCCTAAATTTAACTTTCAATGGAAGACGTCAGTGGGAATTCCCACAAGAAAATCAAAGGTGTAATTGAGCAAGTTCTGACATATCGGATCTAGAATTAGCACTTCTCAAAAGTATATCATTATCGTGTACTTTTAAAGTTGGAAAGGTTCTATTTTTGGATGAATTCGGGAAAGAAACTAAGTTTTACCATAACTGTAAGACAGTTACCGTAATACTCCAATAGAACGCCAGTGGCGGCGTTTCGCCACCCAAATAAGTCATCTTAGAGCCCATATATCTCGGTTTCTATGAAAAGTATCATAAAATAATCAACTGACAAAATGTAGCTGATATTATGATGAATATTTTGTCAGTTAACCACTTTTTGATATCTTTTACAGCAAATGAGATATAGGGCTATAAGTTGACGGCATGGGTGGCGTCCTACATATTTGTGTTTACAGGAACTCATGTCAGAGAAAGTCCAAATTAAATGGGAAAACAGTGAGATGTCTCCAATCACATTTGGTAGATTTTTGAATTACGGTATGAAAAACCTTTTTGTTATGCTCAAAATCTTGAAAAAGTGAATTAAAGATATTTTTTAAAAAAATAGAAAAACTTCAATTACCATAAATACTCTAAAATAAAACCACTCGTTTGAGTTCAATTATCTCGGTTTCCATGAGAGATATCAAAAAGTTTTCAACTGATAAAATGTTTCTCATAGTATCACCAATATTTTATCAGCTGACAAAACATTGATATCTTTCACAGAAATTGAGATAATTAAGCTCACTTACAGGCTTCTGGGTTAATCGAAAAGTGGAAAGCTTCGATAGTTGGTTTCGAATTTTGAAAAATTACAGAATTCTGGAATAAAAAATGGATAATCTAAAGATTCCCAAAACTTCTCCCTTTTCCTATTGTTTCAATGTTTTTCCCTAATAGTTTTTGAGAGATATCCTAAAATTTCATTGTTTTGTCTCCTAGGGGTATCATTGACTTCCAAACCAAAAA